GAAACATCATTGGCATTTTTCACTAGATTTTACTGTGGTAGAATCAATCTTGTAATTTTTCCTGCTGACTTTTAGCACTTTACATTTAAATTTGTCATTTTAACTTATATCTAGTATTTTACAATATGAACGATTTTTAATTAAAATTTTGGGTTGAAGTTAAGACTATCTGTCAAAACCAGAACCCTTAGTCAGTGTATAAGCACTCCTTGCATATTCTACCTATTTAAGTCAGTCAATGTATGTACACTCCTCATATATTCTACATATTTAAATCAGCTGATATATGTGCAAAAAAAACAACAAAAAAGCAACGAATTTGTAAAATCTTGTTAATAAGATTTAATCCTATTATAGGATTTACAGAGAACAGAAGGAAAAAGTTGAAAAACTGTTTAAAAAATTTAACTTAATAACTTAAATTAACAAAAATTTAATTCAATTAATAACTTAATTTTTTTATTAAGAGTATGCATTAAAAATAAGCATTTTTTTTTGTAAAAATCAACAGTTTATTTAAAAAAAATCAGACTCAGGTCATTCAAAATACTCTTTATCGGCAACTATAATCTTCTTCCATCTTTTAGATAGCATGTATATTCCACGCTGGAAAAAATCTTAGTTATGAGGCAATTTAGTACTCAATTTTTGGTATCATCATAAGAAGAAAATTGCTGCCCTGCCAGGCCATGTGCCATTGACTCAAAAATATAATAATCAGAAGTGAAAATGTCTAGGTGGGTAGGACCTCCCATTTGAGGTTGTTCAGGTAGTTTACAACATTTGCAACATGGGGTTATGCATTTTCATGTTGAAGAATAACCTTGTGATGTCTTTTGGTGTGTTGAGGCTTTTTATAATTCAATGCTTGGCTCAGCTTGATCAATTGTCATTGGTAATGGTCTGCTGTAATCAACTTGTTTGGTTTAAGCAGCTCATAATATATTATTCTGAGCTGGTACCACCAGATACAGAACATGAGTTTGGAACCATGAATATTATAATATGGTTTGCCAGAGTTGACCATGCTTTTCTGCATTTAGGGTTGTTGTAACATATATACTGTTCATCACCAACAAAAAAATATACAGGTAAAAAAGTGTCTTTGGATGTCCCTCGGTTTTAACTCATACAACACCCAATATCCTTGCTTTTGAATCATTCCTAGTTGTTTCAAGTACCTAGAAACCATCTTCTGCATGTTTGTTCTGAAAGACTACCTGCCAAAGTAGGCATGAGACTACCTACTTGAGTAGACATGAAGATGCAGCAGAATAGTGTCATAAAATTTTGATAGTCGCAAATATTTATTGTTGCAAATTTGATTGTTGAAAATGTAAAAAAGAAATAATGTGGCAAATTGTCACATTATTGATTGTCGAATAACAGAATAAGGTAAAATGTTGCAAATGAATTTAATGAATAATGTCAAAAATAAAAAAAGGAACAATGTTGCAAAGGAGTTTAATGAATAGTGTCAAAAACAAAAAAATAATAACTATAAATATGTGTTTAGATAATATTTCTGATGTCATACTGAAATAGCCTGCTACAGGAGGTTTCAGTATATATACCAACTATCTTATAGCCTGCTGCTGCAAAGGAGTGTCACTACATTGACTGAGGGTTTGGGGTTTGATAACAATCTTTTCTTCCATTATTCTTTGTTTTTTTATTTGTTTTTTCTGTAAAAGCCGTATTCTATAAATGTAAGCAAAACAAGTAAGCTATTGCTGAAATTAACTATTTGCAACACTATCCCATTTTTACTATTTGCAACACTATTCCTTTTTTTTGTTTTCGATACTATTTATAAAATTCATTTGCGACACTATTCATTTTTTTTCTGACATTAAGCCTTTTTAATATATTTGACATTATTCTGAAGTTCATTTTTTGACACTATTCCTGTCACCCAGCACAAACTCAGTCATGTTTAAAATTTTTGATAAAAACATCTTTACACTCAGACAGTTGAAATCGGACTGATATTTGTAGCCTAGGGTTTTGAATAGTGATGTACCGTTATCACTTTTTTGGCCAATGCCGATACCGATGCCAATGAATTGGAAAAGGCCGATACCGATGCCCATACCCATGAATTTACTAATTATTAAAAATTTGAAAATATAAAACCTTACAACTTTAAATAAGTATTGGTAAACAAATACTTGGACTAAAATCAAAGCCGAACAATTATTTTAAAAAGATATTAGAAAAACTCAGTTAAAAAAATATACATTTTTATTTTTTTTTTACTATGAAAAGAAAACTTTAAAAAAAATAAATACAATTTTAGAGGAACGCTTTTTATTTTAATTTTAAAAAAAGAAAATATGCATATGCAGTTTACTTAGAATACTTTATTAATTTATTAGTAATTCAGATATCTAAACAACAATCATATGTTGTTTATTTTTAGATAAATTGTTTTTAGAATTATTTTAATTTGTAATGCTGGATCCCCACCACGTTCCTGGTAGTACAGCGCTTAACTTGTTTCTACACGCAGCGGCATTGTTCATCAAGGTTTGTGTTTCTGAGTTATAAAGTTGAAAGTGGGTTGTAACCATAACTAAAGTAGCCTCCTCACTTGAAATGGCATTTGTGGCCTTAGGGAGATAAATTTAAATAAAAAAATAAAAAATATAGAAATATACTTGGTACTTGGCTGTACTTAAATACATGATATACTATTGAACTATTTGCAAAGAAATTCTCTTCTAATCCGACTCTCGAATCTCATGGCCATTCTCTTCCTTCCTTCTAATTAAACAAGTTAACCCATTACTGACTTTTCATAGAAACCATATATACAATCGATTACTAAATTAGCATCTGCTAAGGTTGCTTCTTTTTATCGTGCTCACCATTTTCTCTCTCCTGATTCCATTCCCTATCTATACAAATCTTTTATTCCTCCCTGTATGGAATACTGTTATCATATTTGGGCTGGTTCTTCTAATGATGCTCATTCTCTTCAAGATAAGGTTTAAAAACGCATTGTAAACAGAGTTGGACCCGGTCTATCTGCAAAGCTTGAGCCTAACTTGATAGTGGTTGCTTGAAGCCTTATTGGGAGTGAAAAAGAATTAAAAATATATAGATAACAATACTTAAATAGGTTACTTTTAAAGCTTTTGCCTGTAAACAAAGTAAAATACATCACTAGTTTTGAAGTAAAATTTATTTCAGCCTAATCAGATATATACCTGCAAAATTTTAAATCTCAATACAAAATTTTCAATGCATATTTCAAATAGATATTTGTACGATTGCAACCTTACTGTGTATTATTTACACCATAAGGTTGCGATAACTAATGTTCAAATAAGATCCAACTCCAATCTCAACCCAAGCATGACCACTGGCGTTTTTTTGAAGGATTTTTATGTAGGGAAAAACAAATCTGCTTTCCCACAAGAAATTGATTTCCTCATAGGTACATTTTTTGAAAATAGCTATAACAAAAGTAACTTTGTTAAAATAACCAAAAACTATTTAGACCACAGTTCAAAAAATACTACATGTAAACAATTAGATAAAAAGTTTGTTAAACTACCTTGAATACCTATTATTGGTCCAAAACTCCAAAGAGAGTTTAGAAAACAAAGCATCAGAGTTATATTTACATCAGCTCCCAATTTGAATAACATATTATGCAACAACAAAACTAAACTACCTCCGAAATCAAATCTGGATGTTTATCAACTATTACATAGTAGATTTTTCCAAATGTTATGTAATAGATAACTCAAAATGTTACATGGTAACTTGTATTAAATATAATATTTCGTATCGTTTCCTAAATATAAATGATTAACATATACAAATACAATTTATAATATTCTTTAAACAGTTTGTCTCGCAATTAATTAGTCTGTTATTGCTTCTTATAGTTTACTAACTCTTCTGACTGATCATTGATCTCAACCTTGACTTCAACTTTGATCCTGACTTTGACCACAACTTTAACTACTTCTCTACTTTAACTCTACTTTAACTCTCTCTACTTTAACTATATCTCTTATCTATATCCCCAACTATACTTCTTCCTGTTTTATATATCTTAAGCAGACGCTAGATGCGTCTATGGTTAATAAACAGGTTGGTTGATAAACAATGTTAATGCCAAACGCTACACGCTTTGTTAAGCTTAAGTGTTTCGCTTGAGTAATTTTTGTTTAAGACCTTTGTAACACAACTTAAATACTCAGACGAAAGTATATATATTGGCAAGACCAAAAACAAAATTATTTCAAAAAGTGTGGAAGAAGAACCTGTAAAATTGACAAGTTTAGGAGCTACTAAATATTCTAAAACATGCCGTGGTAACATTGATTGGCTGAATCCTAATACCTCAGCAGCCATTCCAGAATACAGAATAAAAAAAATTAGGGAATCCCTGGAAATTAACAAAGCCAAGCTTGACATAAGCTAGGAATTGGGGAAGTTGTTCTCAATCAAGATGACAGGGATAATGTTAAAACAAGAACTTGGGGAACAATTGACAAAAAATTTACTGACCTTACTATAATTTATTTTATTGGTTTTTTTATTTTAAGACTTTTAGTCTTCTTTTTTAAATGTTTTATGCAATTTTATAGCTTTCATTACCTGATGACGCTGACCCCAATATACCAGTGAAATATTATTAATATATTATTAAATCAAAACATATTTAAAAATAGTCTATACGCTGAATTCAACATGAGTTTGATCAAAAAAGAGTTTTGAAACTAAAAAGAATTTATAAGATATTCACAAAAATAATTATTTTGCAATCACGTGTTAAAAATCCTACATGAATGGTGGTGCAGTAGTAGCTCATTATATAAGCAAGAGATAAAAAGCTCATGATAAGTAATATACAATAGTGATCCTTTATAAAATATATAATAGATACAACAATATAAGTAGCAAAAATATAATTAATGAATTAAAAAAAATATATAATTAATGAAATTAAAAAAACTAATTCTGCAAACAATTATTATTACCTCACTTTTCTTTCCAGTTTTATGAAGAAAATTTATAAGGGTATAGTAACCTTCCAAAAATAAAGGAAATTTTTGAACAAGTTCTCTCAAGACTTTAATAGCTTTATCAAATTCGTTTAATTCAAATAACACAATAGCCTAAAAATTAAAATAAAACAAACAAATAATACAAAAATTAATTGAACTAATTAACACTAATGTGTAACAGTGTTAATTAGTCCACATTTTAAACGAAAAATCATCGACTATTTAAAAAATTAATTAAAAATAAAATATTAAAAAACATTAAAAAAGTGTTTCTAGTTTGTTAACATATAAATAAAAAAAGATATTTAAAAATTGCTAAATTTTCTTTAATTCATAAAAAAAAAAAAAAAAAGACAAAATTATGATTACAAGCTCCATTTTCTTTTATATTTCATGCTTTATTTTTTTATACTTCATACTTTTTTCTTTTATACTTCATACTTTATTCTTTTATGTGTAGAAAAAAATTTTTGAAAGAAAAGATTTCCAGGTCCAATGATTTTTATTTTATTGTTCTTTTTTTTAAGTTGAACATATTAATAAATATATAAATATAAATTAACATATAAATTAACTTAAGATTTTCATTAGAATATTTTTATATTTACCTGTTTTGATAAAATAACATTTAGAAAATAATTAAATATCTTACATAATTTTTGAAATGTTCAGCTGATGGTTTACTAAGTTTAAATAACCTTTGATAAACATTTTTTGACGAAAAAAAATCTTTCCGTTTATAATACATCACAGCTAATAAATGGTATGCATCTGGTTTTGATTCATCAATAGATATAGCCCTAAAATTGCCATAAAAAGTTCTAAAAATCATTAAAGTACATTTATGAGGCAATTATTTTCTATTAACATTACCTAAGTTTCGTTGCTTAAACTTTGAATATTTATAACTTATAAATAAAGAAAAACCATTTTTATATTTGTTAAATGGAAATCAATAAACAATTATATTCCTAATTTACTTATTAAAAATGAAATAAATAAAATACATATTTTGAACAATATTTTATTTAAAAATGAGATCATCTATTAGAATGAACTTTCAATACCATCTTATAATCTCAGCCTGTGTTTTATAATCATTATAATTTGAAATCAATGTTTGCAGCAATAAATGCTAAACTTTTTTTATTTATTTACTTGATTTTTCATGCTATAATTTTCTATACAATGTTCTTATATACAAAAATATTGCTGGCTTATCATAGGAACAACCACAAATAGTCATTAAGATTAATACAAAGTAATGTCTGTTATTGACCAACATTTTTGTGTACCGAAGTACTACTCAAGTATTAAAGTAATCAAGTGCTGAGATGGCAGTGGCAGGATTTGAACTCGTATTGTACAACATTACGGTTTTAACTTTTCATTTGATGCTTTAACCAACTGAGCTATCCAGCCACAAAACTGGAAAAACTATTTTTTTGACTTTATAAAACAAGTCAATTAAAAAATCATTGATTAAATAAAATAAAATTACTTTATTATTTACATAAGAATAAAACTGGAAAATAGTGCAAAGCATCTTAATGTTCAATAAATTAAAAAGATTGCAAAACTATGCATGCAAAGCAAATCATTACCTAAGTAGAATGGATAAACCTATTGTGATTGAAAATGTGAAGAGTTGGAAAAACCTTGATTCTTATTTTTATGTTTAAATATAAAAACAACATGCTAATAAATTTATTCTTTGGTACATTTTTGTCAATATTTTCCAAGGTATAATTGATATTTATTATATTCTGTTAAAAATATAACTTTATACGGTTTAATAAACAACAAAAAAGGTCAGAAAAATAGCAAACCAATCAGAACACAGTTTTAAGGTGCATTTGAGCAACTTAGTATCAGGATTTCAGCCAGTTATGTAAAAAGAAAGGGGCGCCACTGCTAAATGTATAACCATGTTTGTAGGCAAAAGAACATCAAAACTGATATATATGTTCTAATGTATACTGTATGTAAACTTTAATCTTTGCTGCATTCTTGCTTTAAAATTGTGGTCACAGCTATAATTGGGATGCGAAAACATAGCGAAAAGCTAACTAAAGGAAAATGTGCATCAAAAATATAATTGATTTTAGCAGTAGAATGTATTTATTAATTTGCAAAAAACTATTTCTCTATTAAATTATTGATTCAAGGGAAGAATATAAAAACTATGAAAAAATACTAAAAAAAAATAAATAGAAGTATATGTAACCACTGTAGTGATCACATTATGTTTGCTTTAAAAGGCCACCTGACTGAAATGCTTAAAATAAATAAAAAAACTTATTGTTAAACTTTTTGTTGAATATATAATTTTTAATATATAAACTGAACCTATAAATTTTAAGCCTGTAATGTTTAAAAATATATTAGAATAAAAAAAATCATTCTAAGCTACCTTTCTAATAAATCTACTGCCCTCTTATGAAAGCCGTTTAGTTCAAGAAGATTTGAGTAATCATGATAGATATCATAACTTTTAGGTGAAACGCGTAAGATTGAATCATATTTCTCAAATGCTTTCTCTATTATACCTAAAAGTATATAAAAATGTTAAAAAATAAATTACCTATTTTTATTTATTTATTCACATTTTATAAATCTTACCAGAACCTCCTAGAACATTTGCATACCCCCTCTGAATGTTTAAGTTTGAAGCGTATGTTTCAGGGAGATTTTCATAGAACATAAGAGCTTCACTAACTTTTTTACTTTGATAAAGAATTTCACCAAATAATATAAGTGCATCCATATAATCAGGTTTAAAACTTTAAAAAGAAAAAAAGAAAAATTTTAAAACCAAATTCAAACTCATTCAAAGTATTCAATACCTAATCAACTTACCTTAAACAACGACGTAACATATCTTCGCAACGATTATAGTCTTTTTTTTTCCTAAATTTAAAACATTATGTATATTATTTTAAATAACTACTTTTTGTGTTTGCTAATTTTAAAAATAAGATTAAGTAAAGGAATACAAAGAAAATAAAAAATTATATGTTGTTTAATATATATATATATATATATATATATATATATATATATATATATATATATATATATATATATATATATATATATATATATATATATATGTGTTAGTGATGTATCATTTTTTTGGTCGATGCCGATGGATGGGAAAAGGCTGATACTGAATTCACTAATTATTAAAAATTTGAAAATATAAAATCATATAACTTTAAATTGGTACTGGTAAACAAATATTTTAAAAGATATTAGAAAAACTCAGTTAAAAAAATATACATTTAAATTTTTTTTATACTATGAAAAGAAAACTTTCAAAAAAAAAATATACTTTTAGAGGAATGCTTTTTATTTTAATTTTAAAAAAAGAAAATAATCATATGCAGTTTACTTAGAATTTATTAATAATTTAGATATCTAAACAATAATCATATGTTGTTTAGACATATAAATTATTTTTAGATGAATTATTTTTAGAATTATTTTGTTTTGTGATGTTTGATCCTCACCACGCCCCTGGTAGTACAGCGCTTAACTTGTTTTTACATGCAGCAGCATTGCTTATTAAGATTCGTGCTTTTGAGTTATAAAGTTGAGAGTGGGTTGTAACCATAAATAAGGAAGCCTCCTCAATTGAAGTGGTCTTCGTGGCCTTAGGGAGGTGAATTGAAATAAAAAAAATAAAAATAAAGAAATATACTTGGTACTTGGCTATACTTAAATACATGAAATAAGGCTGAACTATTTGCAAATTCTCTTGCAACTATTAAAATTCTCTTCTAACCCAACTCTCTAATCTTATAGCCATTCTCTTCTTTCCATTATAATTAAACAGATTAACCCATTGTTAGACATTCAAATCATTTGAGCTTCCTTTGTCATATCTCAATTAAACTCTTAAAGTCATATCTCAATTAAACTCTTAACAATTAAAGTCATATCTCTAAACAATTAAAGTCATATCTCTAAACAATTAAAAACACTAAAAACAACTAAAAACAACAATCAAACTCTAAACAATTAAAGTCATATCTCAATTAAACTCTTCTATGGCTTGTGCTACAGACAGCATTGTCACAGTCTTACAAAATTGTTCTTTGAGTCTTTGATAAACAAATTTCTCACATTCCATCTTGAGTCAAATAACTTGCTGTCAGACAAATAACTATTGCAGTACTGTCAACATTCCTATATTAATGAATGGCAACCCTCTCACTGATTCCACTTCTTTACGTCTTCTTGGATTATCATTTAATACTGACTTTTCATGGAAACCATATATGCAATCAATTGCTAAATTAGCATTTGCTAAGGTTGCTTCTTTTTATCGTGCTCACCATTTTCTCTCTCCTGATTCCATTCCTTACCTCTACAAATCTCTTATTCGTCCCTGTATGGAATACTGTTATCATATTTGGGCTGGTTCTTCTAATGATGCTCTTTTTCTTCAAGATAAGGTTTAAAAACGCATTGTAAACAGAGTTGGACCCGGTCTATCTGCTAAGCTTGAGCCTCTTTTCCATCATTGTAAAATTGCATCTCTTTTTTCTTTTCTACAAATACTATCATGGTTGCTGTTCAAAGGAGCATTCATCTTTAGTTCCATAAAAAAATATAGATAACAATACTTAAATAGGTTACTTTTAATGCTTTTGCCTGTAAACAAAGTCAAAATAAAAATTTATCCAAAAAATTCTAAGTAATGCACAAAGTTTAGTTTATTATTTAATTATGATAATAATGCAGGATAAAAATATCAAAATGCGATCGGTTGGAAAATCGGTAAAATAGGCCAATGCCACTAAAGATTGTGCAAAAAGTGACCAATTAAGCCGATGCCGATTAATTGGTACATCACTAATATATATATATATATATATATATATATATATATATATATATATATATATATATATATATATATATATATATATATATATATATATATATAGGTTAAAAATCATGACATTAAATAAATATCATGAATTATTGTATGTTTTCAAACTTTCAAATTCAGATTTCTCAAAACAATGGTTAGTGGTCGTATTCCCTTTGTGCTCTTAACCATCGATATATATATATATATATATATATATATATATATATATAAATATAAATATAAATATAAATATATATATATATATATATAAATATAAATAAATATATATACATATATATATATATATATATATATATATATATATATATATATATATATATATATATATATATATATATATATATATATATATTTTAAACAAAAAACAAAACAAAAACAAAAAAAAAAAGGTTGTTTTTTGAGGAAAGTCAATGTCAAATTATCAAAATACTTATTTTATAATGTATTGTTATAACAAATGCAAATAAAATACCAAATATATATTGTACAAAATAATTGGTGGAGTTGAATTTTTTTTATTATTATCTTGAGCATTTATATAATCTATAAATGCAATGGTCTATATAAATTTCATACTTCTTTCTCTGACTCACTCTAAAGCCAACTGGGATTCTTTTCATGATTTTCTTCATGTTCCTTGGACTCATGTCTTTTCTCTCTCCGCTGATAAGCACCTCTTATATAACCTCATTGATCCAGACAAGAATGGAAGCTTTAATTCATTCTTGATGGTTCCAAGTCAAGGCTCACTCGATTCCATGGTTTTCACCATCTTTTTTAACTGCTATATCTAATCACAATCATTTTTTAAATCTTTTTCAAAATAACAACTCTATTGTAAACAAACGCCTATTTTTTATTGCAAGAAATCAATGTAAAAAGGTGCTGTCTGATGCTAAGCTCCATTATTCCCAAATTACTATACTCTCATTTCCATATTACTTACTCTCTCATTCATGAGACTGGTCTTATTACCTCTTACAATGATAAGACTGAATTATTTGCAGAGAATTTTTTTTTAATTAACGCTTGAATCTTATCTCTTCATTCCATTCCAGTTTAACAGATTAACCCATTATTAGATATTCCAATTACTCAAGCTTCTGTTGCTAAAGTCATATCTCAATTAAACCCTTCTACGGCTTGTAGTCCAGACAACATTTCTGTCATAATCTTGGAAAAGTGGTTTCCAGAACTCTCTTCAATTTTCTCTAAACTATTTAACAAGTGCTTGACTGAATCTTGTTTTCATGTCTTTTGGAAAATGGCATCTGTAGTTTCATTTCGAAAAACTCTGGAGAACATTCTAACCCCTCTAACTATCATCCAATCAGTCTTCTTTCTGTTATTAGCAAGGTCTTTGAGTTTTTGAACAACAAATTTCTAACATCTCATATTGAGTCAAACAACTTACTGTCAGACAATCAATATGGTTTTTTCTTGCTCAGCGGTTTTTTATCTTCTCGCTCGCTGACTTGTTAACTGTTGTGACTGAAAGATTTTATAGTGCGATCGAGGTGGCAAAGATAGGGCTCTTGACATATCTGAAGCTTTTGATAAAGTTTGGCATTCTGATCTTCTCCATAAGCTTTTTTCATATGATGTATCTGGGAAAGTTTTTGAGCAAATCATTTCTTTCAAACTGTTTCAAAGTCATCCTTGAAGGTCATTACATTTTTTCATTTCCAGTAACTTCTAGGGTACACCAATATTATATTCTTTTTTTTTTCTTATCTGCATTAATCATCTTCCTGACAACCTTACATCTAAAGTTTGCTAATGACTCAACTTTATACTCCTGTCTTGAAAAAAAACCTCCTCTTTTTGATTGCTTAGAACAGTTAGCTGATTTTGAATTTGAGCCATTTCTGTAACAGATTGAGGCTTGCAGTGAATTTTAACTCCAATAAAACTCAGTTAAGTACAGCAAATAACCATCTCTATATTGTCGACATCTCTATATTAATGAATGGGAACCCTCTCACTGAGCCCTCTTCTTTATGTTTTCTTGGATTATTGTTCACTGCTGACCTCTCATGGAAACCATATATAAAATCGATTTCTAAGTTAGCATCCTTTATCTTTTTACTGTACTCGTCCCTGCATGCTCTAAAAACCTTTTTTCATCTTTTATTTCCTGCACTTTATCCCTTTGGAACTCTTTCCCATCTTCATTTTTCCCTAGTTCATACAACCTACAACTTTTCAAGTCTTCTATCAACCGTTTTTTTGCTCTTTAACTGTTTTTTTTTGTTTTTTAGTAATTCCTAACTTAATAGTGATTGCTTGCAGCTATGTTGGGAGTAAATCAGAATGAACATTAAAAAAAAAACTGTTAAAAGTCAGCAGTGTGATAAAGATAAAAGAGTTAGTCAATTTAATCAGAAACAACATCAAAATGATTACAATCATGGAAAAAAATGGGTTATTGAAAAACAAGAAAAACAAAGGTGATTGAATGAAGAGGTGCTAAGCAAAAGGTTAATCACAACACTACTATTGAAGTTTTAATAAATTTTACTATTGAAGTTTGAATAAATTGAAGGGTAATAGCCATCAATACTAAGAAACCTATTTGTCTAACAAAAGTTATTTAGAATAAGAAGACTTAAAAGGTTGCAAATTATATGAATCAGGAAAACCTCGAACATCAGTTCTCTGGAATTTGCTCCCTACAAACAATGTAGGGAGCAAATTCCAGAGAACTGATGTTCGAGGAAAAAAAGCTAGACAAACTTTTGGGGCACTTAGAAACAGTCACATAATAATGAGACTTAATAATGAAATTTAATAAATGGCACAAGAGACGCTAGCTCTTTAGAGCCCATTATAGTATTTATAGAAAAGAGAAAGAGAAACAAAATTATGACAATGGTAGAAGATTAGCTGAAAGAGCAGGTCCTACTATGTTTACTGAATTTTTGCATCTTGTCTAAAAGAAAAAGGGCATCATTTAAAGATCCGCTAGAAATTTGGCAACAGTATTCCATACAAGGAAGGATTTGAGACTTAAAGAGATAAAGAAATAGAATCTGGAGTAAGAAAGTGTCGAGCACGATAAAGAGATGCAACCTTAGCAGATGCTAATTTTGCAATGGATTTGAAATATTTCCAAGAAGATTGAAAGTAAGAGTTAATCCTAGAAAGCAAAGGGTAGATGAATCATCAAGTACATTACCATTCATAAATATAGGAAGATATATAATATGGATACAAATATATGAGCAGTCACAGTAAAAGGATGACACTTGATTGAATGACGAGTAACACAAGAATGACAAGTAATGCAAGAATGAATTTTAATAGATAGCACTTTTATGTTTAAAATGCCTTAATGGTAGAGATAGGTAAAAATTTTGAAAGTTTTTTTTTCATTTGACATTTTTTCATTTTAACATTTAAGTATTCAGAATCATCAGTTTTTTAAATGGTTATTAATGATCAACACCTATCAATGAATCCTTATTCTATTAATCTAACCTAAAAGATAAAAAAAATAGTATAACCATGATTATCAATTGCATTTTCTTTTGCTTATTTAATTTTAAAATAAACGTCTTATTTTTAATCAATAACTAATTATAGTGATAAGCAGAAAATCTCTATTGTTTATGGATTCTTTAGGGGAAAGAAGAGAATGTCTGTTGACCAACCTCGCACCCCTTTTTCATCTAATAGGTTGGTGTAAATGTAAATTTATGTTACATTATTTGCTGTCTAGTTGATTTAAAATAAATTCAAAATTCTAATTGACAAAAAGACTTCTTTAAAAAAGTTAAATTTTTTTACATAAAAATTTAAATTGTACCTGTATAACAATGCTAAGTTGACCATAGCTCTATAATGACCAGGAGTATACTTCAGAGCTTCCATTAAATGATATTCTGCAATCTTAAATTAATTTTAAAAGCTTGTATATACATGAATAAACATAAACAAGCACACAGAAATTAAATGACACATTCTTATTTTACAATTTTTTTTTTTTGGCTTAGATTTATACATATGTAAATCAGTTTCCTGTTAAAAAACTACAAGTTTCATTTTAAAAATTATTTACACCAAAGAAAACCAAGTTATTGATCTTAAAAAGACCAATAACTTGGTCTGAATAATCATTATATTATATATTCTCAAACACCACCAACCAATCATATCTGCAAGATGTTCAAACAAGTTATTTCCAAAATTATTTTCTGATTCAAAAAGGCTGGTGCCACAAAATCTATACAAATGATCACAAAAGTTCTGGCCACACACTCAATTTCTATAGCCCTTGAATAAATCAAATTTTATATTTTAAGTACAGATACAAGCAATTATTTGTCCAAAAATATTTTTCAACAGTAGTTTAATACTTCATCAGGAACAAAAGTTTTCTTTACCATTTATGCCATTGTTAGAAATTTTATATTTCTAAACAGAAAACCCATAATTTATGTATCAGTATTTCAGTTAAAATATTTTTTTAGAAAATTTTTTATTATTATTCAAAATTATTTTATAAAAGCACTGTGATTAAAATTTTAAATAAGTATTTGACGCTTAGGTGGTAACAACTTGAACACTAACAAAAAACTGAAGACAAATGTTTTAGCAAAAATAAGGGCAAATCCTAACATTTCTGAGGGAAATTTGGCCTTAAAATTCAAAGCTAGCAGACACATGGTCTGGACTATCAAGAAAAAGCATAAAATCAGCTCCTTTAAAATATATAAAGCCCCAGATCACAATACTGAAGAATATCTAGTGGCAAGAAGTCATGCAGGAAAATTATACAAATTAGTGTGTAGAAAAAAAAAAAAGTATAATCACAGATGATAAAACTTATGGGAAACTAAATTTCAAAACAATTCCAGGACATCATTTTTATGTAGGAGTCTCCAGAAAAAAAGTAAAGGCTAAGTTTAAAACAATAAAACTAAAAACATTCGCCCAAAATATTATGGTTTGGAAAGCCATATACCAATATTAAAATTGAAAATATAAAGTTTTGTCACTAATTTCACAATAAATAGTAAAACTCTAAGATTTTAAAGTGATGTGAAGTTTGGGCTTAGTCACATCACTTAAAAATCAAAGAAGCATTACATTACTGAAAATTGTAAAATGTCGTACACGATCAACTTACACTTACACGATTCACGATAAAACGATGCAACTTATGTCTATAAAATAAAAGCAAATTTCTTCTTCCAAAATTTGATATGGGTGATTAGGCAACTATTTTTAGATTTTACTTTTTTTCTAACCTTTTTGTTGTTTCTTGTTTTGACAACGGAGCTTACTCCACTGTAACTTTATACTTTAACGTGTTTTTTGTTTCTTGATTTGTATTTCATGGCTGAGGATTTCCTTCTGGCATAAAACTATTAGAATCATAAAAAATAAAACACTTCATTTTGTTTTATATTATTTGTTACCTTTTTATGGTTGTTAAAAGATTAACCATTACAGCAGTTATTTTAGTTAATAGTGAAAAGTTAATAGTTAACAGTGAACAGTTGAATTGATTCAATTGATTAGCTAATCTAATACTTTTAAGTAAAATTTGGTAAAAAAGCAATAAACTCTATAAAGGTTTAGGAATATAAGACTATAAATTAAATCAACAGTGACCACCAATACCAACCGAATTAGTTTTGAATTTCATTTTGAACTCACCACTAACCTATGGTTTAACATTGGTTTATTTTTAGGCTGCTTTTGCATTTCTTTTGCAAAGGTGCAAATTGAATGATAATAACCATTAACTTGAAGATTTTTTAAATTTTTATTAAATAATACTTGTTAAAAAAACAAGCTGCACATTAACAGTTTAAGTTACAGTTTAAATTTGCATTGTGAATTTACATAAAATTTAATATATTGTTACATTAACAGTTTATTTTAAGTTAACAGTTAAAATCAGTTGCAGCTTTTTAATGGTTAATTACGGGAAGTATTTCACTAAAAATTAAATTGATTGATAGGGCAAATATTAATTTTGATTGCATAAATATTTTGGCAACATTTAAATCAAATGGAGTCAAAAATGATTAAATTTATGCAAATGCTGAAAATTCAAAAATCTAGCAATTTAGAAAGTGGGTAAAAATTTGGCAACAAAAAATTGATTTGATAAAAACTTGTGTCAGACAAAGAGTTAAATAAAATTCAAAAACAACAACTTGTTTATTATCTTCAATCAACATGATTGGTAGAAAAAAATCTATATAAAATTGGTATTCCATATATCCTTTCTTTATAAATCCATCCTAATATTTAAAACCTATCCTAACATATAATCCTACCTTAACATTATAAAATTGGTAGAAAAAATATAAACTAGGATTTCAAAACCTTTTGGCAACAAAAAATTAGCAACAAAAAATGGCCTCATTTTACTCAGAAATATTCAAAAAATTTACTTAAATTTTTTTAAATTCTGATTCACCTCCAACAAGGCTGCAAGCAACCACTGTTACGTTGGGGATTACTAGAAAGAAAAAAAGAATAGAGTTAAAAAGCAAGGTAATGGTTGACAGAAGACTTGTTGAAGGTTGAATGAGTCAGTTAAAAGGTTGTTTGAGTCAGGAAAACATGAAGATAGGAGAGAGTTCCCAAGGGTTAAATTGCAGGGAAAAAAAAAATTAGGCAAATAAACTATTTGCCTAATTTCTAAAAAAAAAAGTTTTTTAGAACATGCAGCGACAGATACAGTGAATAGACTTTGCTGAATGATGTCAAAACAAGAATGAATTTTAGTTGATGGAACTAGAGATGATAGCTCCTTTAAGCAGCAACCATGATAGTATTTGTAGAAAAGAGAATGAGACTGAGAGAATGAGCTTAGCAGATAGAGCAGGTCCAGCTATGTTAACAATGCGTTTTTAGACCTTGTCAAAAAGAGAAAGAGCATCATTAAAAGAACCAGCCCAAATATGACAACAGTATTCCATACAGAGACAAATAAGAGATTAGTAGAGGTAGAGAATGGAATTAGGAGTAATAAAATAGCAAACACGATAAAGAAAAGCAACCTTAGCAGATGCTAATTGATTGTACATATGGTTTCCATGAAAGGTAAGTAGTAAACCATAATCCAAGAAGACTTAGTAAACAAGAGGACTTAGTGAGGAGGTTGCCAATCATTAATATATAAATACTGCGATAGTTGTTTGCAGTTTTGTTGGAGTTTAAATTTACAAGCCACTGTGAGCCCCAATCTGTTTCAGAAGTCGTATCTGATTCAAGATTGGCTGACTGTTTTAAGCAATCGAAAAAGAAAAGACTTTTTGCCAAGACAAGAGTATAAAGTTGAGTCATAAGCAAAAAGAACTACTTTAGATGTAAGGTTGTCAGGAGGATCATTGATGTAAATAAGAAATAAAACAAGACCAAGGATAGAACCTTAAAGTATGCCAGAACTTAATGGAAACGAAAAGGAGTATTGGTCTTCGAGGATAACTTTGATAAAACGATTAGAAAGAAATGATTTGATAATCTTAAATAGATCCCAAACTCCCAACACATGTTGTGTTCATATTAAAGATAATGATAAAAAAAAAGGTTTGAACCAAGTTTTTTTGATTAAAAATAATTAATGAATGCATACCAAGAAAACTAACGTTGTTGTTTTAGCCGAAGCTCGCCTTCTCCATTTTTTTCAATAACTCAGAGTCTTTAAATTATACGTTGCAATCTACAGACTTTAGCGATTCCTTTGAAGCGCGTTTAATTCATAAAATTTTTAGTATTTGACGTCACGGTAGACTTTTAACAAATGAAACTCTGGAAATATTTTTATTTATTTTTATTCAAACTTTTTTTGATTATTTGTTAAGTTTTTTTTTCTTTCTATTTTTAACATTTAGAAAGATATTAAAAAATACTGTAAATATTGAAATAATAACTTGAACTAAATATACTTATTATCTAGAACGACTAAGCAATAAAAATAAAAAGCCCCTAAAATTATGCGATATTGTGTTGTTTATTTGATAATTGCTGTTGGTAATGTTGTTTATGTTGATTATTTTCATTAATATCTTTGTTCATTGTTGCTTTATTTCTAATTTAATTTTATCTCTAAGTATAAGTTTATGTTAAGAAAGAAAAGTTTTTATTTCATTGCTCGCTCTTTTTATAAAAAAGTAGAGCAAAAGAGAAAGAAAAGTTTCTCGTAATTAAACTTCGAATGAATAAAAGAGTTGTATAGAATATTTTTTTTTTTTTTTGCGTCACTCGTTCTTTTTTTAGATGAGAGAAATAAAAGTTTAATAGTAACTTTTCTTTGAATAAATGAAAATTGGAAGAGAAAATTGCTTGAAAATTTGTATTTGTTGTGTTTTAAAATTTTTTTAATTTTTCATGTTAAGAGAAAAATGCCAAATACGATACAAATTGGGAAATACCAATTATAATAAGTTTTTTAACGCGAGTTATGACATTTTGACAATTTAAATTACCATTTATCTTGAATTATTGCCATTAATTAATGTGTTAATTATTGCGTTATATAAAAATAATTTGTCCAAATTTTTGTTAAATATTAGTTGTATAAAACGGGCGAAAATATACAAACTTCATGATTTTATTTGATGGTTATAAAATATTGAACAGTAAACTAATAATCAAAATTTATAATGCTGACTTGTGTTGTTATTAATTGCACTTTTAATGCAAAACCAAGATCTCACATATCCTTTCACGAATTTGCATATCCGATACTACTGTCAACTGTATTGTTTAGTATATTCCTGTACTTTTTTTTCATAACCTTAACAGGTTCTAATTGGTATGGAGTTGCCAACATTTTAAAAGTTTCATTATCAAAAATCAAATGTAAAATAAAATGATATTTCCTTTTTATCCCTATCCAATTTAGCAAATTTAGCAATTTAAAATAAATCAGCGTAATCAAAAAAATTTTATAATAAAAAAAGTTAACAATTCATCATATATCTCTAATTAATACTGTCAGTTTATGAAATTATTTGTTAATACTTTTTTTCGACGGGAAAACAAAAAATATCATAGCGTAAAAATAACCAGAGAAGTTAGAAAGAAGTTCCCATTGTTTAAATAAAAATAAGTAAGATTCAGAATATATAATACTGCGCTCTCTTGCACAAAAACGAGAGATCGTATACATAACGTTCTATATAATGTAAAACACTCGTATGAAAATCATAAGATTCGTAAGTAAAGCTTTAATATTTGTTTTAATTTAAAAACAAAAGAAATTTAAGTAAGATATATAAATCTAAAAATTATTAAGATATTGGTAAAAAAAAAATTCCTCTTATGAAATAAAAAGCTTTTATTATTTTTGATTTTTACAAAAATTTGTTGTAAAAGTTGTTTTGTTGTATGTTAAAAATTTTTTTTTTGAATTAAAATAGAAAAACGCAGCTTTGTTTAATTACACTTTTCTTTTGTTAAAAATCTACAGCTAAAACAACAACATTAGTTTTTCTCGGTATGCATTCATTATTTATTTTTAATCAAAAAAACTTGGTTCAAACCTTTTTTTTTAACATTATCTTCAATATGAACACAACATGTGTTGGGAGTTTGGGATCCCTTTAAAAACTTTTGCAGATACACCATAACAAGAAAACAAGCTTATGGAGAAGTCCAACATGCCAAACTTTGTCGAAGCCTTAGATACAGCCCTTGCCTCTCCGCTTTCATCAAATACATGATAAAATCTTTTAACAACAGCAGTTAGCAAGTCAGCCGTAGAGCGTGAGGATCGATTACCATATTGATTGTCTGACAGTAAGTTATTTGATTCAAGTTGGGATGTTAGAAATTTATTGATCAAAGACTCAAAGACCTTGCAAATAACAGAAAGAAGACTGATCTGACAATAAATGGAGAGGTCAGAATGTTCAACGGAGTTTTTGAAAATTGGAACAACAAAGGCCATTTTCCAGCAGGCAGGAAAACAAGACTAAGTGAAGCACTTAATAAATACTTTAGAGAGAACTGAAGAGAGTTCTAGAAAACACTTTCTGGAGAATAAGATTTTGTAAGACTATGACTGGGATGTTGTCTGGACTACAAGAAGCCATAGAAGAGTTAAATTGAGATATGATTTTAGCAACGGAAGCTGAAGTGATTTAAATGTCTAACATTGGGTTAACCTGTTTAATTGGAATGGAAGGAAAAGAATGACCTTAAGATTAAAGAGTGGAATTTAAAGAAAAAATTTTTGCAAATAGTTTTAACTTATCAAATTTTGTTTTTTGTAAACATATAGCAAACAATTTAAGTTGAAAAGTACACAAATAAACAAAACTATAAAAATAATTAAGGAGTTTTTGATTATTTTTATATAGAATTATTTTATTTCAAGTATTTTCTTTGGTCTTATGCTGATTTTATTATTATTACTATTTTAAAGTTTGTTAGCTGAACTATTTAGAGTAAGCAATAAAAACTTGAAAAACCAGAGCTAAATAAATTCTTAGAAACTTAGTTTTAAAGTTTCAGTATAAAGAAAATAATAAAAACTCTTAACCTCATCATTATTGATTATAGTTGCTAGATTGTTATGTGCACTAGAATGTGAGGGATCCAATCTAAAAAGAAAAAGACATACATCAGCCCTAACCTTAATGGTAACTGAGCAACAAGAGTATAAAGCAACAAAATAGTGTAAAAACAAGTAATAATTTTTTTTTTTTTAATAAAATTTTTATAATTATGATTTAAAAAAAAGGGGTTTTGGTTTGATTGTAGATTCAGTGTGAAAAAAAGTATAAAAAATGCAAAAAAAGACAAAAAGTTTATAGTTAGGCATTTACTTAGCTTGAAAAAAAAAATTTGCACAAATTTTAAAGAAAGTACTTTGCATATGGTTTATAAAACGTACTTTATAAAAGGTTTGCATAATTTGCATAAATGATATTTTTAACTAAATTTGTTTCAATCAGTAGTACTAAGGTAGTAGTAGTAAGGTAAGTAGTTTGTATGTGAATTAAGGTAAGTAGTTTGTATGTGAAGAGGCTTTGATTGTTTTAGGTGTGTTTAAGTTGTGTAAAAAGTGATTAAGTTGCAAAAAGTAAATTTAAAACCTCACTCTATTTTATCTCAAACAAAATAAAAATGTATATAATACATAATTTTGAAAAAAAATTACGGGTAAGTTATTTGTGTCTTAATTAGATAATCTCCATAATTAATCCATAATTTTAGTTTTTTTCTACTTTAGGAACTTATTTATCTTACAAACTATACCTGTACAAGCTAGTTTCCATTAATTCTATTTCAAAAAATACTACTAATAAGTGGAAGTAAGGGGAACTAAAGCTTTTCAAGTCTGGCAGGGATTTTAGCTTACACTGTACAATTTGTCCTATTGCAAAATCCATGCATCATAAGGTGCTCAAGAAAACTAAAGTTATAATTGAAAATAAATGTAAATAATAAAAAAATAAAGTAGAATTGAAAAATCAAAGTCAAAAAAACTTCTATATCCTAACTGCTTTTGTAATCTTGGTAAAAGTTTACTCCACAAATGTTCTTCTGGACAGAAGAGGGTAAATAATAGAAGCTAAATAATAGATATGCGGTAGTGGTGTAGTGGTAGAGCGCTCGCTTCATAAACGAGTGGTTCCAAGTTTGATCCCCACCACGCCCCTGGTAGTACCGCGCTCAACTCGTTTCTCCGCGCAGCGGCCTTGCTCGTCAAGGTTCGTGTTTCGGAGTTATAGAGTTGAGAGAGGGTTATAACCACAAATACGTAGCCTCCTCGTCTGTAGTGGCCTTCTCGGCCTTGAGGAGGTGAATTAAAATTAAAAAAAAAAAAAAAAAAAAAAAGCTAGCTAAGTAGCAGATCAACAAAGGTACAGCAGCAAGTTATTTCAACTCTGCTCTAAAACATCTATGTTTCTTCAGAGACGAGCCTTGATTAAGAGCTTAATCTTTTAACAGGTTTCTTATCTCTTATACAATAAATGAAATGTGAAGTGTATTATACTTTTAGTAGTAGCACAAAGTGTTTAATATTAATATTTCTAAATATGTACATTATGAATTATTAAATTTTATTTACAGGAAGGTCCTTAAATCCTGTAATCCTTGGAAAACCAATTGATTAAACCAGGAAAGTAAAACTTGAAGAGATACAGCCTCTATTAAACAACCTAAGGCTTAGTCTATATATGAATAAGCTGATATTGAAGGAGTTTCGAAAAATTTTGTATTAAATTTCATTTCATTCAAATTTAAATCATTCATGGTGGCAAAACTAAATAAGAAGAGCAAAACCATAGAAACTGAAGAGATGATAAACAATAAGCTCACAAATTTAATTACAAGAGATCTTTCTCATAGGCTAAAGCTTTACTATAAAAATTGTTTTTACATAGGATGTTGTAAAGCCTGAATGAAGTTTGGTGCTAGATGGTATGCCTTTGCTAGAACTTCGTATGCTAAAAAGTTTTGTAAACTATATGTTATCATTCCAATTCAAGTTGTGGCTGGGATGTAGGTTTTAAGCTTGCGATGTATGATAAAAGGATATCATGGTGGAACTTATGAAGCAAGTGCTTCAAAATAGATACTTGAGCAGTGCATAGGGAATTTGTTGTCAGTAGATCTACTACCTTAATTAGAGTCCCTGTGAAAGTTCCACCAAGTAAATCAAGGAACATTTGAAATTTGGATTTCAATTACAAAGATGAAATTCAAGCATTCACACAACTTTACTGAAAAGAATACTGAAATGAGATAGGATATAGTAGTATATTTCTTTTTGCTTTGAAAGAATATTGTCAGCACCAGTACATTTTTTGGTATTTCATAATAATTTATGCATATTTTTTTAAAGGGATATTTGATTGATATTTACTATAGTATTTTGAGAAAAACTTGACTGTCACTCCTAAAGTACATGCTTACTTAGAAGGCTTTTGAAAATACAATTATAACTTATAATTAAAATATATTCAAAATCATTGAGAACTTTGTTGAAAGTTTATTAATTTAACAATTCGAATAAAATTTTTATAATGAAGTAGAATAATTGTGGTCTGAAAAAATATCTGTTACACTCTATTGATTGTTTCTCAAGCAGTATAAGACGTAGTGCTGCTCTGTTGAAATCATATATGTTTCTGTCCTAATCAATTTAATTAAACTAAAAATTGTCTCTCTGCACTGTGTACCACTCTACAGAATTATATTTGTCATAAAAAAAAAAAATTCAGGTGGATGGAAAAGCCTCAAGTGGATTTGCAAATTTCCACCATTTTGTTTATTAACTTTTCCATTCAGCTACATATAAGACTGCCTGATTATTAGTATACTGAGTTTTGATTAAAAATTTAGAAATTCATTATGCAAGGTTAGTACCTTAAGAGGTATTTTAAATACTTTTGTTAAATAATTTAACAGCAAATTTTTGCTGTGTCTTGTATGTCTTTCAGATAACTATATCCTGTATGTTTTTTAGATAACTATATCTTTTATGTTTTTTAGATAACATCCGTTCTTAAGATACAATTTCTTGTATATAAATAAGTGTAGGTCTGACTGCAAAGTTTGAGGCAGGGATGATATTGCAAGTTCTAACTGATGTGCTCTTCTTATTGATGTTTCTTAGTCTTCATACACATTTTTGGTTACATTCTCTATTTTCTACGTAACCCCTTCCCTGTGGCTTTCCTGTTCTTAAGTAATCAAATATTGTCCATGCTTCTTAATATCAAGCCACCTATTGTCAAACTGTTAGTGTTAAAAGAAAACTTTATCCCAGATGTTTTTATCCAAGTTCTTTTTGTGTTTCAATAACTATAATATTATGTTATGCATCAGCACTATTGCATAAACTATTATTTCATGCATATATCAGTATTGTTGAAAAGTGTAATTAACCAAGTTAAAAATTTTGAATTTTACTTTCAAATGATTGAAAAAAATTTCAGAAAAAGTAACTATTTTAGAAGTTATATAAAGTAACTACTTTAGAAATTAACAAAAAAAAAAAAAAACAACGCATAGAGACATTTGGAACAGCATTTTATAGCACCAAGGTTGATCTAACAAACCTAACAGCATTTTGATAGTGTTGAATTGCTTCTTCTGTATTGTTTGTGTCTTTCAAGAAATTAGCAAAATTATAGTGTACTTTTGCGTTGTGTGGTAAAGTATTTATTCCTGATCTAAAATAAACAAATGAAAATCAAATAAATACAATAATGGTACGATGGTTAATTAAATCAATTAAACTATTGTTTATTTTTAATTGAAAATTAAATTTAAATTAGATTCACCTAAAAAGACTTTCTCTTGATTTCCAGACTTTATTGTATGTTATTGTCTTTATTGAGTAAAGCAGTATTTGACCAGAAAACAAAGTATAAAGTAATTTTTTGTTTTTGAAGAACACAATAAGTACATCAAGACCATATGCAACTAATATACAAAAACCTAAACTAAAAAGTAATTTTATGTTTAATGTTAAAGTTGCAAAATTTAAAGAATATGAAGATTTCAATTGAAATCTATTAACATATAGAAATATATAATCAGTAAAAAAGATGCTGAACATTGTTTATATTAAAGAAACAGCATTTATATTTAAAAAAAAAAGTGTGCTAAAATGATGACAATGATGATGTGATGATGATAATGATGATGATGATGATGATGATGATGATGATGATGATGATGATGATGATGATGATGATGATACATTATCACAAATATATAAAAGATAAGGATACTTTTTTTCAACTTGCAACTGTAAACAGTATTTTTCAAAAATTTATAGATCTTTTTATAACATAACTACCTTGAAATGTATAGAATTCTTTCTGCAACAACAAAACCAACTCTAAGAAAAATGTTTGAAGCTGGAATAAATGGTATCCACAACAAAATAAAACCAACCAAAACTATTTTGCTGCACTAAAAAAAAACTTTCAAAATGTCCAAAACAAAAATCTTTTGTATATAAAATCAAAAAACTGATTTTAATTGAAATAAAAATACAAATAAAATTTGAAAATCAAATAATTATCATAAAAAGTAAGACTTGAAAATAATAAAAATATCAGAAACCTTTGAGCAATCAATTATATTTTTCCAAAAAAGAGATGTAAGTATAACAAAAAACATAAGTGTTTGTAAGTTTCGATAATCAGAAATACTTTCTACCAGAGGTATACTCGATCCTTGCCAGTCATAACAAAGAGTATATGGAATCAAAAAAAGTTGACAATTAAATACCAGTAAGTAAATGTATGTCATTATTCTTGTTGTTAAATATGGTGAAAAAGAAGCAGGATTATCTTCAATTTGGAATTTAGGTAATTCACTTCCCATAATGATAATTCTTAATCCAAATAAGATAGTAACCTTTAAAAAAATGACACATTTTTACTTTATAACTATGATAGAATGCATGCAATCCTGGGTACTATATTGTCATACTCTCATACATATTTAAATATTGTTTATGTTTATTCATTAGCTGAATAATGTTAACTTTGTTTTTTCCTGAAAACTATAGCCTTTTTGTCCAAAATAATTTACAAGAGATTTGCTGCCATGCTTATCAAGCAACTTAGCATATACAATTCTAATTTATTTATTTATATTTATTAATTTATAATTTATATTTTGACATATATTATGCTTACATATGTATATTTAACTAAAATTTATTAAAAAGAAAATTGTATATTTTAATTAACATATGTTTTTTTTGTTATTTATGTTTAGAACCACAAATATTACAAGCTGGATCCATAATGAATAGAGAATGAGCTTCAAAATTTTAGACAGTTCCACACAACCAGATTTAGTCTAATTTGAAATTATAAATAATCAAATTGTTACCCCATTTTGTTCCCATTTCCTACTTTCAGAAGATTAATTAAAACTAGTTTGAGAACTAAAGTTTTTATTACAACTTTTTAAAACACAAGGGTCAAACCTATCAATTCAAGTAGCCTTAGCTGGGTTCATTTTACATTGAATATATCTCTAGAAATTGAAGAACATAAATTTTTTTCCTGCTTTTAAATACTAATATTTAAAAAACCCAGATTTGGATCAGGCAAAATGTTTTGTTCAAATAATCATCAATAGACGTTTTATTAGAGTACAAATATAACACAAAAATGCTTGAAGAACACTTTTTTTTTAATTTTTCAATCATCATCACTTAAATGCTGTAACAAATTATGCTTAACATTCTATTTATTTATTTCTAACGAGTCAAACAATTTTAAAAATAAAATCCTAAAAAATAGCAAAAAAGGGGCAAAAAATGATCTTCAGACCAATTGAGGGAGGTCATGTAGTGGTCTAATCATAAAAATATAATTTTTTAATAATAATATCAAGGTTAGGGCATCTTATGGAAAGCAATGTTAGTTGAAAACCAAAAAAGCCATTTTTTTTATACACCCTGATAAACATACAAATAAAACATACATTTACAAATAAAACATAGAAAACTATAATAAATATATATTAAACATAAATATAGCATGAATTTCAATTAGACAAAATATTTATATGCATAAATATTCAGCCTCTGTCATACCATCAGCCCTGATTTTGTTTTATTGAATCTGGCCCGCATATAATACCCACACTCGTTGTTTATTAGTGTGTTTTTCTGTTTATATTGTTTTTGATAAATAGGAGAATAGTTCTTGTTTAAAAAAGTGTTTGTGACAAAGTTCATACTAAGTTTCACTTTAAGTTAAATGATGCTTGTTTGTGACAAGTGTTCAGTTTTCTGTATACATCAAAGAATGATTTTCATCAAAGTGAAAATCATTCTTTTCAAACATTTTCCAAATTGGTCTTCAAATTAACTTTACCAAGGGTCATTCCATATGAAATCAGCCAGACCTGACACCCTTACATCTCAGAATTTGTTCATTTTCACCTCACTTTCAGTCTATATTAAAAAAATAATTAACTGCGAAAATTTTAGTTAAAAATACACATGGGTTCCAGAGATATTGTCAGTTAAAACTATGCTGACTCAGCATTTTATTAATTATCTGAAGCTGCAAAGCAACTTTGACATATAGTATTTTCATAATGGCTTGGGCAAATGTCTTAAAATTTGGTACCCCAATAGATTTTCACTCGAGGAACCCAAAATAGGACCCTCAAGACTAGATTGTCTCAGGAAATGCCTTGTTTATTTAATTTTGTTCAAAATTATCGACTTTATATAAATAAATTCATGACTTTTGGAGGTAAAATAAAGACTGTGGCCCAAAATCCTGAGTAAAAAGTTTAATTTTATATCATTATTTTATCTTAGGTCTACTGAAAAAAATTAGATTCATCAATTGTCTCTAATACTTGATAAAAATTTGCGTTTAAAAATTGTGTCTTTTTAGATTTAAGCGATGTAATGAAAGCAACTGAATTGTTTTTTAAAACATTTATTAATTTATTATTTAAAACATTTGAATAAAACATCAAAAGTGAGGAAGAAAGTTTTATTTAAATTGTAATGTTTTGAATAATTAACTAAATTTTGTTTCTTGAAAAACGTTTTAAAAGTAGAAACATTTTATTGCAAACATTAAGGGTGTCGAAAATGTTTTTTTTTTAATGATTTCGTATGGAATTACACCCAAGGCAATTGGAACATGAATAAAACATACAGCTTTAACTATTTATATTATTACATTCTTTTAACAAATATTTGAAATATTTTAAACAACCCTTAGGTTGTTTGAAATATTTCAAATATTTAAAATATTTCAAACAACCCTTAGGTTGTTTGAAATATTTCAAATATTTGTTAAAAGACTGTGATGCACCAATCAGTTAACAGAACTTGTTAAACTTATTTTAATGTCCACATTATAACTTATTTATTTTCAGAAATAGTTAAACAAGCTTAAACGCTTTAGTTGATGTGCTTTTTTATTATTTATGCACACAAAAAATTTGTAATGAAAAAAATGGAAACCAAGATTTTTCCCGGATATTGCTTTGTGAACTCTTTAAATTTATAAATTTCATTGACTTTCTGAATATCTAAAATAACTGAATGTTTTCTTCATTCACACATATTTTTTATTTTTTATTGCATTTTATAATGTTTATCTAAATCATTATAGTTTATGCTTTGTTAGATTTTTATTAATATATATTTTGTCTTTAAATCTAATCTACTAGGTTTGTATTTAAACCTTATCAACTAGGTTTGTATTTTAAATCTTCTCTAACAACTTCATCTTATCTTTTGTCTCTAAACCAAGTTTGAACTTTTGATTTATTCATTCTGGAGTTACTTGCGCCTTAAAATATATTTTACAACAATTATAAACAATCAACAATCGTATAAACAATTAACAAACCTGGATAAATGTTTTACAACATGAAAATAAAAACTGTACCCAAGTCAGTAATAAAATATTTTCTTTAAGCATATCTTTGGTTTTGTTGCTGATGTTCCTGATGAATTCTTTATTCTTCTTTCCAGAATATAATTCCAAAAAATCTCTAAAAATAAAATTAAATTTTACCAAATATGTGTATTATAACTTATGTGTATTAGTGTAAATAAAATAATTATTAGAAAGTAAACTTTTACCTTTGAAGATTTTTTTTATTATTAATCATGTTGTAAAGAATGCAAACAAAAAATACCATTGCAGAATGTTCTTTTACAAACAAGCATATCGTTCCAAAAAGAAGTGCCAGACAAAAAAAAATACTTGAGCATCTATTCTATTAGATAAATAAAAAAACAAATTGTTTTTTAAAAATAATAATAATAAATAATGAAAAAAAGCTATATATGCAAATAAAAAAGATAAAAATCAAAAAATAGAAAAATAAAAGTTCATACTTGTTAACCAAATATTATATACAATTAATGTATATGTATTTGGTTAATATGTTAACATTAACCAAATACATATACAATTTAAGAAATAAAACTGAACAAAATTAACTGGTTTTGTAAAAATAATGTTAACTAAGCTTCTAAGGCAAACTACTTTAAAAAGTAATAAAATTTAAAAAATATATCTGATATATTATTGGTGGGTTTTTTTTTCATTTTATCATTTTCATTCAGTTTCAACTCATTTTATTTTTGAATTTATTTGTTAATATTTTGAAAAAAAAAATAATAATAAATACTTTAAATTTACGCTCTTCAGAATATCTAAACAAAAAAACAGTAGTAAACAATTTATTTTAAACTATTACAATAAAAACTTGTTTAATATTGAAACTGTCTGCAATTTTTATTGCAACAAAAAAATATACAATAATTTTCATTACCTAATAAAAAATATAAAACATAATAAAAAAAATAAGCAAGATAAAACATCTGCCCTTCCAACAACTCCAGTGACCTAGATACAAAATCAAATATTGAATATTACCATAAAAATTAATATTAATGACAAATTATTCATATATATATTCAAATAAAAATTCATAGATGAAAAATGACTGCTAATAAAAATACATACATACATAAATACACACATACATACATACATACATACATACACACACATATATATATATATATATATATATATATACATATATATATATATATATATATATATATATATATATATATATATATATATATATATATATATATATATATATATATATATTTATATAAATATATATATATATATATATATATATATATATATATACTTGAAGTGGAGAAAAAAAAGTAACTGGATGGTATTCGGTAAATTATTCGGTAAATAGTATCCCGCCTAATCATTCTTATATAGAGATTTATAAAAAGGTGGCAGGATGGTTTATACTTTATAAAAAGGTGACAGGATGGCATCCCGCTGCATCCTGCCTCACTTCGAGCACTGTATATATATATATATATATATATATATATATATATATATATATATATATATATATATATATATATATATATATATATATATATATATAAATGTATATTACTACATTCACAGATACAGCCCAAGATCAAACTATTAGCTCAAAAATTTTATGGAATTTAGACAGTTTAATATTTAAAGTTTCATTTAAATCTAGTAGCAATCTTTTTATTGGTTGATTTTTTTATTTAAAATTTAACATTTTCAAGCATAAACTTGCAATTTAAAATTTTTTTGAAGTTATTGGGAATATTAATATCAATATATAATATTAATATTAAGCGCTACAATTAATTCAAATAAGATAATTAACATCTATGAACAAGAGAACGGAAAAATAATTAAATAAAATAGATTTAAATAAATAAATGACCAGCAAACTGAATAAGGGGTAACTAAACTTAGCAACAACTTGACAGTTGTATTTTTTGTCTTTGTGTTTTTAATGTTTTTTAATCTGTTTTATTTTTTTAGTCTTCTATTGAGGTGTGATTTAGTAATCAGTCACCATAGCTACCATAGAAACTATAATTTAAAGTATTCAATATGTCAAAAGAGTTTTAGATAAAAAAAAAATTATAAATTCAGACAATAGAACACCATATTATAGTCATACTTTGTCCAGTTATAAGTGGAAAGAGTAGTGATCAACTTTAAATTGTGGAATGGAATTATGAAACAGGAACAATACAAGAAAGTCTTTGAAGTTTTTCACCTCAAGAGAAGGAATGGTGCCCCAAATAAAAGTTGGAATATTTTGTGCAAGATGGAGCCTTGTTTTATGCTATACTAAAAAAATCCATTAAAAATTATTGGCTTCTCAAAAAATTTTACTTTTGAATTGATCAGGCAATTCCCCTAAAATGTAATAAAGAAAAAAAAATTTCAAAGAATAGATCCCGCATAGGACCCAATTGATTAAAAATATTATTTGACATTGAAATTGCAAATTAAAAAAAGATTTTTATTTGTTTTTATATTATACCAAAACATCTCTGTGAAGCTCTGAAAAAATTTAAGAAGAATGAAAAAAAAATTAAAAATTTGCATTTATATTATACAAAACGATCTCTGTGCAGCTCTGTAAAAATTTAAGAAGATTTAAAAAAAAATTAAAACTTATGTCACTAAACATATTTATTACTGTAAAACAGAGTTACCTGAGAAAATTTTTAACTTTGAAAAAATATAGGGCTAAGTGAAAAAAATATTATTTTGAACAAAAAATATCAAAACACGGGTCTGTGTGTGTACACACTGACCCGTGTTTTGATATTTTTTGATGAATTTCCATTCTTGTGATTTAGATTACTTATAAATAAAATAAAATTACTTGTTCTAAGTAACCCCACTTACAAAAGACAAATAAGTCTTTCTGTGGGTTTACATGGTTCAATAAAAAATTTTTTAAAAAACTATGAATGTCAATATACAAATTTAAGATACAATGGAAAGAACTATTTTTGGTGAATATTTATTAATAATAATATAATATTTAATACATTTTAATGGAAATTAGAATTTATCAAATAATTGAATTGAAATGTGACGGAATTCACAGTCTTTTAGCATGATTACACTCATGTTTTACTGAATGTTAAAATTGTTAAGAAAAGTAGTGTTAAAAATACGCTTTCCCCTGTGAGCAGTAGGTGCATCCAAGACTTGTACAACATCACTTTTCCTTACCAATAACTCATCGGAAAGATTATAAAAAATGATCATTTGTGCAAACCATGTTTGAACATATATTTTGAGTTTATTTTAAAGTTGATATGTAAAATGAAAATCCAACTTTTACTATAAGGAAGACAAAAAATACAAACAAATTTAAAAACAGCTAATAATATGATCTGGGACTGTATATATCTATGAAAAATATAAACAAATGTTATATAAATATAATTAATTATTATGTAAATACATATAAATTCAATAACTCAAATTAAATCTTTTATACTAACAGCTTCCACATGAACAGGGTGTGTTGTAAATATTAGTGCTGCAAACAAACTACTTCTGACACCTCTAAAAATGTATTTGTATAAAGCATAAAAGAAAACATTGACAACCACCATATGCAAAACAACATTTACAAGATGGTAACCAAATGGTTGTAGATTGTGGATCATATAGTTTAATCGAAAAGTAAGTATTGTCAATGGTCGATAAGATTTATGGCTTTTATTGTCTTTAATTGAACGACCCCAAAAATCATTGTAAAAAAGATTAACAAACGGTGTTTCAGGACGTAAATCCATGTTGTTGGTAATAGCAAAAATATCATCATGAACAAGCTCATTATCTAGAGCATTATAAAAGCAAATAAATGCCAAACATGTGAGCAAGCCATGACAATGTAATTTACATTGTTGCATTGTGAAACTAAAAAAAAGGCTAGAATTTTAAATTAGTTATAGATCATTTGTAAGCTTAACTTTGTCAATAATAATTTGTAAGCTTTATTAGTCAATAACTTTTACTTTTTGTTATTATTAATTATTTGTTAACTAATATATATATATATATATATATATATATATATATATATATATATATATATATATATATATATATATATATATATATATATATATATATATATATATATATATATATAATATATATATATATATATATATATATATATATATATATATATATATATATATATATATATATATATATATATATATATATATATATATATATATATATATATATATATATATATATATATATATATATATATATATATATATATATATATATATATGAAGCCCCCACAGATTTAAAACCCCCAACTTTAAGCATGGGCAGATACTATATAAAAATTTATATAGCATCTGCTAATGCTCATTTTATCTTTTTTAAAAAGTGGGCCCACTGCCCACTTTTCAAATGAGATAAAACATAGGTCAACTAAACTTTCTGATGCTGTGATGATGTCAGCATAACATGTATTTTTATTTTAGAGCACTCATTAACCTTGCAACCTTTAATTAAACAATTTATTTAAAATTATATAAGCTGTGAGAGTCATTTAGACAAATGGTCTTTTAATTAATACAATTTAACTTTTAAAATAAAATAAAAACTATTATAAATACTATTGATAAGAAATAATAATGTAAATAAAAATAAAATGATAAAAAAATCATGGTTTTTATTTTATCGTAAAGATGATATTTTTAAATAAATTTTAATCCACTTTTCTACTGTTAACCATTATAACAGAAAGGTTCTAATGAGCATCAAATGGAAGCAGTTAGCCATTGAACTATTACTCTTGACATATCAAAGGTTTTAGATTAAGTCTGACATCTCCATATGATCACTTGAAAATTATTAAACCATTCCCTTTTAGCTACAGTATTAAATTTATCTTTGATGGACAACACTCTCCTTCATTTTTAATAATCTTTGGGGTATCTTTAACTGTTCTTTCATATTCGTATAACTTCAAATCATCTTGTATTTCTCTTTGATCATTGGTGTTATAGAATTCTCTCCCATCTTAACATTTTCCTGACTCACAGCTTACAGTTTTTTATGTCTACATTAATATACAGCTTACAGTTTTTTTATGTCTTTTGTCAATTTTGTCAATAGCTTTATTTTTTTTTTAATTTGTTTTGTATTACCTCTCCACTTAATTAGTGGTTAGAAGTAAATTTATTAAAAAAATGTTTTACTATATGACATATAATATTAATGCTTTCTAAAATGACACAAGAAAAAAAACTTCATATGTTAATTTTTTTATTTATTCTATTAGCAAACATTTATAATATAATATATTAAAGCATCTTTAAAATTGTTTTAAGAAATGACAGAAATTTTTTTTGTATAATTATAAAAATTTCCAATATTCATTAAAAATTTATAATATCATTTTACAAATTTCATAAAATATATACAATATTTATAAGTATAAAATATGTGTGTGTGAGTGTGTGCATATATATATATATATATATATATATATATATATATATATATATATATATATATATATATATATATATATCTATATATATACATATCACACTTAGATACATATCACACATATATATATATATATATATCACACTTAGATACATATCACATATAGATATATGTTACATATAGATATAGAAACACATACACACACTTCCTCACTCACACAAACACTAAATTTAAAAGGGATTTATTTTGTGACCAGTAGCAAGTGGCGAGTAGGGATTCACAACAGCCCACATCAAAGCTGTACTTAGTGGTAACATTGAGACACCATCCTCCAATACAAATAGAGGACCCTAAAAAATTTTTAAGTTATAGTAAAAGCCTGAACATTCTAAATGAAAAAGATTTTAAATAAAAAGTAAATATTTTACTTTGATTCGTTCATTTGTAAACATATTAACAAATGTTGTATTGTGAGATGGAAGTTGTTCTCCAACAACTTTGTATTCACCACTCAAAACTTTATCTATAGGATATATTATAACTTTTAGCCTCAAAATATACAGATACATATTTAGGTTCAGAAATGTTGAAAAAGTTAAGAAAATCAAAAAAAATATAGTATTTAATACTATGATCAAATTATTCATAGTAACTTAAAACTTACCAAATTTATTTGACAATTTTGAATAAATTTTCTTTTGTGTTATTGTTTGTAGTTGCAAATTATTTTCTCTGAATAAAAGCAAAATACTTATTTTGTAAAGTAAAACACAGTTATATTTAACATTTATAATTAAATTAAAAACTTCACTTCCAAATACATGAAACAATCAAGTTATTAATATATGAAATGATTCATAAAATGATAAAAAAAAACACATCCCTATCAAACACTAAGAAATTAAACAAAAAAATTAAAATGTATAACAAAATCACCTTAATTCATTTGGATTTATTTTATTCAAGCCTAGTGATTCACAATCTTCACCAATAATTTTTAGCAAAGCATTGTTATTTTCTTCATCATTTTGAAGCAATTTACTAAACAAAGAAAATTTTTAAAAGTATTTTTCATTTTTGATTCTCTTTACCTAAATTACACTGGTCAACAAAAATTTGCAACAAGAAAAGTGCTTACTAATTTTGAAATACCTCCCTAACCTTACCTTATCACCATATTTATTTTTAATTTCATCTGGCATTATTTTTGTATTATAGCTGCTACCCACAAAGTTGAAAATAAACCAATTTTGCAGGCTTGGTCGGGAAGCGGGAGCGATCGCTCTCGAATACTGACTACGGAAATTATATTTAGTTGCGTAAAACTGGCCAGGTTTTTTAGTCGTTTTGAGAACATTTAAGTTTATGTACGAAACAAAATTTTTTTGTTTTACAGACATACATGGGCACATAAAAAACTTGAATGTTCTCAAAACATCTTTGTGCGAAAGAATAAAAAGAATATTCGGGAACACTAAAAACCCGCCAAATTAACGAACAAACTAATTCTATTGGTTCAAAAAATACGCTGATTAAGCGAAATAAAGTTCTTGAGTATTCTGTTAAAATGTTTTAGAAATTGTATTATTCACGATTTGTTACGTTTTGAAATTTCTAGCATTGTTTTAAGAATATATATTATTTGTTTACGAAAATAAATGTTTTAAATATATACTAATTAAATTGATAAAATTTTAAAAGTTCATTATAAATCATAGACTTTATTAGTATATTCTTATTTTTTATTTTAAAAGAGATTGTATTATTTATGTAAATGTAACTTTGTGTATTTGTTTTTTATCGTAATGTATCTTTTAAAGCAATTTTTATGATTTAAACAAAGACTTACAAAAATAATTGCATTTTCAATGAAGTTATTATCGTTAAAGTTAATAAAACTAATTATGTAACAAACATATAAGAAGATTCTGGTTACTAAACACAAACAACGCATACAAAATAACTCGCGGATGAACAAGCATCGCCCCTGAGGTCACGACAGAACACAAATATATATAGCAAATAATTAGATATAAAGAAAAGTTTCTAGATATTGGTTTACTAACTCTAATTATTTTCGCTTAAGTTGCTATTCTTAAAACTCATTATACTTTTTTCTGCTATAAATACTAATTAAAATTAAAAAGCCCACTCACTAAACATCATCAGCGATATTGTGAAGCAGTTTCGCTTTCTGGTCATTATATATTTTTAACCTTTTTAGTTGATTTCTATCTTGATAATTTAATTCCTATAGTAATTCAATGATTTAATTATTTCATTTGTTTATCTTACTAAGAAGAATCACTTCAAATTTATTAAACTTTTCAAACTACGAGAAACATAAAATAGGTATTAAAAAAATTAACTTTTTTATTTATAAAATAATTTAGCTTAAGTAAAATTAAAACTTGCAAACTTAGTTAAATAAAGAATATTTGTTTCCCTTTTAAACAATCGTAAGTTGTTACTTTATTTTAAAAAACATTGCTTAATTTTATAAAAAAAATTATAAAAGAGTGATGTTTTGAAAATATTTGTTCTAAATGTAATTTATTTAGCTTTAAGTTTTTTCGTGTTTAAAGTTATTTTATTTGCCTATTTTTTCTTTTTTTTCTAATTGTCTCTCATCGGTCCAATTAACCTTAGTCACTTTTTTTTTTTGCTTTTTAAAATGTTTAAAATGTCGTTTTTCTCAAAACGACTAAAAAATCTGGCCAGCTTTTCGCAACTAAATATTATTTACGTGGTCAGCAATCGAGAGCGATCACTCCCGCTTCCCAAACAAGCCTGATTTTGTTTCACTTTCGCATTCAGTGAATTTATTTATTTGAAGAGCAAAGTGTTTTCTTCTGTTTTCTGAACATGGTGATTTTTAAGTAATGTCAAAAAAGTATAAAAATGATTGTGACAACTTTGTTAACTTTAAAAACTTAGCAAAGGAATTTGCCACTATTTATAACTAATTTATATGAATGGTACTTTAAATTTTCTATCAGGCAAAAAGAGAAAGCTTGGATTTCCCATTTCTGTTCTGTTACACATTTCACTTTTTGGATTGTTCACATTTTGTTTTTATTACTGGGTCTTCTAACTGGATGCTCAAGAAGAATATGACCTATGCCTTTCACAAACAGTTTTATCCTGTATATTATCCTGTATCCTGACCTGCTATCAGATAAAGACTGATCTCTAATAGACTATCTGTACCAGAACCTGACTGCTACACCAGAAACAATCAAAAACAATCATTGATCTGACCGCTACATCAGAAACAATCAAAAACAAATTAGATCATGATATTCATAAAACTTCCTTACCTAATAAGCTATGTCTACTAACCCAAGGAGATCCTAATGATTCGGTACATGACTTAAACTTGTCTAAACAAAAAAGTTTTGGGCTCTCGATTAAAGAGATGGATTTTATTGCAACTTAAAATAAAAGTATGCTACTGTTTACAATTAAGGTAAAGACTTGAAAGGTTTTTCCAGCAGGTAAAAGCAGACAAAAGTTTTTTGATTAGCAGGTAATAATGTTTATGGTGTAATGACTTTCTGGGATATAGAATATAAAGCTGTAGAGTGGTATTTATTTATTGAAGATTCAAAAGTAAGTTCAAAGGCTGTTCTTTTATATATCAGCAATAAACTTTCCTCTATACGATTAGGTGAAGTTTCCATCATGGCAGAGTCTTATGAAACTAATAAATTTATCTTTGTAAAAGTTTAACAAACACACCTTTAAAGTTCATGGGTATTTGAGGGCTATTGCCCTAATTTTAGGATTACAACTACGGTATACAAAATAACTTTGTTTTCTTTGAAAGAGACGTAAAATCACACTACATTTATATTAATGTTGCAGTTGAATAATTTCTTTTCATTGATAAAAACTTAAAATTTCTAAAATTTAATAAAAACTATTTACAAAAAAAGTGTAATTTTGTTATTTCTAGTGTAATTTTTTTATTTCTTGTGTAACTTTGTTATTTCTAGAGTAATTTTGTTATTTCTAGTGTAATTTTATTATTTCTAGTGTAATTTTGTTATTTCTAGTGTAATTTTGTTATTTCTAGTGTAATTTTGTTATTTCTAGTGTAATTTTGTTATTTCTAGTGTAATTTTGTTATTTCTAGTGTAATTTTGTTATTTCTAGTGTAACTTTGTTATTTCTAGAGTAATTTTGTTATTTCTAGTGTAATTTTATTATTTCTAGTGTAATTTTGTTATTTCTAGTGTAATTTTGTTATTTCTAGTGTAATTTTTTTATTTCTAGTGTAATTTTGTTATTTCTAGTGTAATTTTGTTATTTCTAGTGTAATTTAGTGATAACAAACCTTGCATGTTGAAATAAAAAAAAAACAATAGTTTGAAAGCTTCGTTGAATTGCTTGTAATGCTCCAATGTATGCAGAAACACCAAGGATCTGATCACGCCTAATATTAAAATAAATGTTTATAATATTTAGAAAATAAATATTTATTTAATCAAAAAAACTTAAACTTATACTTTTAACACAATGGTCAAAATTTGGACAATTTTAAATAAAGCTTTCTCAAAAATCACTTAATCAACTGTAATGATTTATTTTTATAATGATGCTTACATCAGGTCCATAACTAGGAGGGGTGAGTAGGGTAGCTGTCACCCTCCTTTTGAAAAAATGGGTTGGTCTCAAAACTTTACCAATTTTATGGTTTTTCATTTTTTTTATTATTAAAAGTAGTGTTTTTTTTTTAAATTTTAAAATTTCTTAGTTCCACAAACTATAAAAACTCAGTAAGTTGCAAAAACAACAATTAAATTATATTGCATAGCAACATTAATGCAGGAAAGCTTTTACGTTGTTTTTTTCTAACGATAAACAATAAAATAGAACAGGTTTTATAAAATCGAATATAGCGCAGCAATAAAATGTAAAAAATTGTAACATTGAATATAGCGCAGCTATTAAAGAAAAACATAAAAAAACAATGTTTTACTTTTGTTTTATTGCATAAAAATTAAATACTTTTTGTTTTTACACTATTTTTTAGCATTTACTAATATATATTTTTTTATTTCTATAAATTATTTAGTTTAATATAAATCATAAAAGAAAAGGTAGGGCTGAGAAAGAACGTATTAAAAAACTAAATGACGAAAAATGAAAACATGAGCAAGTCTTAGAACTCGTACAAGAACAACCTCAAGTAATTTTTCATGACAATATGTCAACATCTTTTAAAAACGTTATTTCCTCTGACTTATCTGCCAAAAAATCAGTCAGTTTTCGAAACCCTAATCATGACAAACTTCACAGGGTTTTTTGGGTTGGGGTAGCAATTTTTAATTAATCTTCTTTTTTCAAAACATGTCAAATAAAAAAATTAACAAAAAATTTACTTGGAGCCCAATTTACTTGGAGCTCACGGCACATAAATATATATATATATATATATATATATATATTTCAGGCCTTGTGATGAATAAAAACTGCGTGACGCATAAGCACGACGTGATTTTTGACGTCATTAAATTCTTTTTATTTGCTTTTCATATTTATCAACATTAACTGCACCAATTTACTTAATTACCGCAAAACTACTTTAAATCATTAATGTAGAAATAATATTATTTAAAAATGTTTTGGAATGTTTCGTTTTTTAAAATGTAAAAACATTGGTTTATTTCCTCGACGTTTGACGCGTTTTGTCTACTAAACGAATAAAAAACATTATAACTAAACATTTAAAAAAGATTATAAAATATGCTAATGTTTGATTTTCTCAAATATGTAATTTAAAGTTTTTCAAATAATTATTTTTTCTTTTTAAAAAGTCAGCGATTAATAAACTGGAAATTTTAATATTGTACGATTAAAAACTGTGCAATAGCTAATATTTTTACTAGCGATTTTATATAATATTTTTCTATTTATTTATTTTTATTTATTTTCATAAAGCACAATCACTCGTATTATTTACAAATTAAAGTGCTCTTTACCATTTACAAATTAAAGTGCTCTTGTGACAAATGTTATGTTGGTGAAACTAGACTAAAGATATCGTCTTGGATATGCCAGCATCAAACAAGTGCACAACAAGGTAAAGGGGAAAATTCAGCTGTAGCTAAACATTCCAAAATTTGCCAAGGAAAATTCAACAGGAAAGGTCGCAATACGTTAAAAATCGAAACAAATAGTTTTAATAGGAAAGTTAGGGAAGCCTTGGAAATACAACTCAACGAAAGTACCTTTCGCGGCAATGGTCTTAATCGAGATGATGGCGATTATGTGACGACGTCATTTTGGAAACCCATGTTTAAATTCTTACATCACAAAAAACTCACTTAAATAACTCTCTTAAAAAGAAGCTCTTACAAAGAACATTGTTTTGTTAATTTAAACAGTTTTTATATAATATAGCGTTTTTGTTTTTTTATAACAGTTTTTATATACTTGATAACGAGGGTATCCATATTCCCTTGAAATATTGTAAAAATAAATATAATTTTTGCAAATAGAAATCAATCCATAATAAGAAGTTTTAATTTAATATATATATATATATATATATATATATATATATATATATATATATATATATATATATATATATATATATATCAGGCCTTGTTTTAAAGCGTTACGCCTAGAGCGATTTACGTACGCCTTAAGCGCTTTTTACGTACGCGTAGAGCTGTTTTGGTTAAGCTACTTTTTATCATTTTTTAACTTTTAAATTAGCGGTAACATAAAAGAAGTAATTAATTTTCAAAAAAACCACATTAACTTTTAAATAACGGTATGTAAAGATATTTATTTAAAAAAATAATTTAATTTAACAATAATTGTTGTAACTTTTCATCGCGATATATCTTTCCTTTTTATAGCAATTAATTTGACGCTAAACTTTTTATCCAAATATTTAGCAACATGAAAAATTGTTTGTCAATCCTTAACTACAAATTTTTTGCAATGTTTTTTAATAAAAAGTAGTAATTTTTTAAAGTTTTTAGTAAAAAACTTTTAAAAAATCTATATTCCATATTTATTAATACAGAATATAAATGTTTTTTGTAATATAGATTTTTTAAGAATTTTTTACTGAATTTATAATAAAAAACATTTGCAAAAAAATTTGTAATTAAGAATTGACATTTTTTTGAATATCTCAAAAAATGTCATAATATTTTTGTTATCATGATGACAAAAATATCAAGACATTTTTTCGAGATATTAAAAAAAATGTCTTTGCTTTTCTTATTAGTTAAAGGTATATAGATACATTTACCTTTAAGTTATGCGGGGGGAGGGGGTCGGCACAGAAAAAAAAAACTACCTGTTACTCGCAATATTTGAATGAAGACAATTTGTTAAATTTCTTCTGTGTGCAATTCAATAAGTTTTTTTTTTTTCATAAATCAAGTTATATTATAAGGTAAAGAAATCATGAGTAGACTACAACATCCGCTGATGACACTAATATTACGTTGAATATATTTATATAACGGAGGTTTTACTATGCACGCGCACATTACAGGTTCCGTTCAATAAATACTAAGGCACGTTTTAGTTTAATGACAGTCTCCATTTTTTACTAATGAATATGTATTTTTCTTTATAAAAAAAAACAAACTAGTATATTTCTATTATCTCTAAATTGTTTAAAGTTCGAATATGGATTGTATTTTGAAGGACAAAAGATTTACTTTAAAAACTTTTAAATCTTGGGACTTTGCCGATGCTTTGCCGATGCGATGATCAAAGAAAAAGAGAAGACTTACGTTATTAAAATCAAATGTAAGTTGTGATTCTTCATCAAAATAAAATAATATCCAAAAACAATAGTGCCGTAAGGGCAACTGCCCAACGGTTTATAAATAATACAAGTCATGTTAAAATATTTTAACATGTTACTATATTTTGATTAAGTTGATATATAATTAAAAATAAAAATATAGTTCAATAAATAAATTAAATTTATTCTTAACAAAGATTACCTCATATTTATTCTTTTTTTTATTTTATTAAGTTAAACTGCTTACAAACGAAAAAAAACAAAAGAGTTTTGTAATTATACGTAGAATGAAAATACTTTTGAGTTTGTTTATAAGTTAAGGAACTTAATTTTTAATAAACAAAATTTTTTACGAAAGTTTATTATAAACAGATACGATTCAAATTATTAAATATACTTAAATTATTTCAGTTGAGTATTTTTTAAGTTTGCACGATAAAAGTTTGGCGTAATAGTATTTGTTTTTTTGGTTTAAGAATAATTAACAAAAGAGTTTGCATAATTAAGTCTTTTATATTTAATTTAATTTTTTTTAATTTCCTAAAATAAAATAAAAAAGATTTAATCGTTGAAAACGATTTTTCTGTTTCTTTGTGATATGTTTAAAAAGTTAAATGTTTTTACAATAACATAAAAAATTTATGAATTAAATTCCTAGCGAACGCGTTCTAAACTACGTATCAAAAATATGCTCAAAGCAGACAAAACTTTTTTATATTTTTATAAAACGCAAGTTGAAACGCTTTTATTAATTTAAAAAATATTTAAAAACTTAAATTTTTGTTTGCTAGTCAAAACAAAATCGTTGTTTAAATAATTAACATGGGTTTGTGTTTATCAATGTTAATTTTTTTTGTTTACTCTAGAAATTTTTAAAAATAAAAAAATCATTATTATTTTTTATTCAATAACGATTAAAAACAATTATTCAAAAACAAATTTCAGAAATAATTTATATATATATATATATATATATATATATATATATATATATATATATATATATATATATATTTTTTTTTTACTAAATAATATTGAACTAAAATTAATAATAAAATAACAATGGAAAACATTACAAAATTTTCATAATAAATTTAGATTTAAAACGTTTATAGTTTATATTTGAGCTAATTGTTAAATTGAACTAGTTTGCGGTTATTTATTGTGGTAGTTAAAACACTTAACGTCTATAAAAAAAAATAAAGATAATTTTATGACGTCAAAATCGCGTTAAGCTAATGCATTAAGCACTTTTTTATTTAAAACAAGGCCTGTATATATATATATATATATATATATATATATATATACAATATATATATATATATATATATATATATATATATACACACACACGCACACACACACACACACACACACACACACATACACACACACACACACACACACACACACACACACTCACACACATATGTATAAAGATTAAACATTTCAATACAAAGACAATAATTTGTAAAAAAAATCACTACATACAACTTGGTATCCATGACAAGAACAATATCAGTTCTTATATTCCAAATTACTTGCATATATGGTAAAACTTTATCTAAGTTCCAGGTGCTTGTATTCATACAGGCTGTAAAAAATATATTTATAAAAAAACATAAATCAAACGTTATCACAAAAATATTATTTATGTAGTATTTTATATTATTATTGTTATACTTCAAAAAAAATTTAGGATCTTTTTTTACAATCTTTACAAATTCTTTTTAAAAATGTAAAAATTTCAATATTGAAAAAAGTGAGTTTAGTGGGACTTCGAGTATCATAAAAAATCTTTTTATTAACAAAACCTTTCAGTTGTAACAAAACATTTTGAATGGATTCATGTTTTGTTTCAGCAACAATCATGTATGGAAAAATATCCAAAAGATCTTTATCTGCTTTACTCTCATATACTGATTGACACTCTTGAAGGTTTGGTAACCCTGCCTAAAAATTCATTAGGTAAAAAAATTAACCTTAAATAATGACAAAATAAAAAAGTAATAGCCTAGTCTAAATTAAATAACAACCTTCAGGAGAAGTTCATTTCTCTGTGTATTGTTCCCAGGAAAACGTGCACATGCCTTGAACAGCTCATCATTTCCAATTTCTTTTAACCATTTTATAGATAAATCCCTGTATATTAAAATCAAAATTTGTTTGAGTAGATTTTATAATAATAAAAATTTTATTATTCTAAACTTTTTCTTTTTTTTTTTTTAGATTATCTACAATATTAAATGAAGAAGGAGATTTAGGAATCAGAATAAGATCAGATTTAAAATGGAAAATGCAAGTGTAATGAATATAACATATGTAACAAAACAAATGCCATAATTGATCTGATAATAAAGAAGATTAAGCATAATTAACACACAAATGATTGAAATTTTGTATAAATTGTATATACGACCACATTTAGAATATGCAAATGTAATATGGTGTCGATATCTAAAGGAAGATATAGAAAGGCTGGAAAAAAAAAAGGCAAGCAAGAAACCTTAGAGAATTAAAAGTTTTATTGTACTAAGAACGCCCTAAATATTTAAATTTAATGAGTTTAGATTTAAGAGAACAGTGCGATGACTTAATCTAAATGTATAAAAATGTTCATGAATTTAATAGTCTTAATGAACTCAATGGTCAAGTTTTATTTTTCCAGTAAAATTTCTTTATAAAACGCTAACACTCCCACCCTGTTACAGGGTAGAAGTAGTTGCAAAATTTAAAATGTTATAACCATTTAAATACATCTGTAAGAAACTTTAATTTTTGATTCATATGCCCTTTGTTGCACAATATAAAAGTTCTTTTTATGAATATTTAATTGTTATTTATTTTTGTTGATAGTTTTTATAAATGTTGGCATTAATGAAATAATGGCAGAATGTATTTGGCAGCAATATGAAGTAAAGTCATTATCATTTAAATTTTTCAATGGAATGGTATAAATGGCTACTTTTATTCAATGGAATGATATATTATAAGATTATAATATTATAAGATACTGACTAAATGACTACTTTAAAATTTTTCATTAGAATTGTTATTATCATTAGTACATAGATGAAATAACGGGAAAAATAGATTTTTCTCTACACTTTCAAAGCAGTTCCTAAAAATACTGGGTTTAATTGATAACTTTAAGACTTTTAAAATATAGACATTTCATGAAAGTTTTAAAGATACAGACATCATTTTTTATAATTACATGGTTGATGCAAAGTTTTTCACAGACCCATGCTCAAAATGTCCATCTTAGTAGTTATAAATCTTTAAAATAATATAATATTAAAAAAAATACTTATAACAACAACAACAACAAAAAAACTAACCAAAGATTATGCTTTTCACATCGCCTTGATAAAGTTATAAGAACCTCTTGATATATTATTTTACTAACAGGAAGAACTTTTGCTAAAGAAAATGCCAGCTCTAACTCATTTCCTTGTAAAAGGCTTACACAAGCTGACTAAAAAAATTGAAAAATAATTGCAAAAAAACAACAAAAGAACAAACAAATTTTATTTAAAAAAAAAATTTTTTTTACATCTACATTATTGACAGACAAATAAGATGAAGCCGCTCCAATTGGATCACCATTATTCATGTATAAACTTGATAGCTCATGAGATATTGTAGCCTGCAAACTAGTAGTAAAATTAATTTGCTGTATTTTACTTAAATTAAAAAATATATGTCAAAAACAATCAAAAATAAAAACTAATAATATAAAGTAATATAAATTAACAACAAAATTTTTATACATCATTTTATCATTTTATTAAAAACAAAAACAAACATTTTCATTTCATTTCTCTGAAAAAAAATATCATTATTTTTAGGAAGATCATTGTCTTGGAATGAATTTTGAACTTTGTTATGATATGGTAGTCGTTCAGATTCTAGTTCTACTTGGACAGCTAACAAAGCATCTTGATACTGCTTTGTAACCTCTCGATAAAAACTGCACAGCTAAATATCAAAAAAATTTAAAGTAAAATATAAATTAAAAAAATTTTTTTAGCAGATAATATATTAAAAAAAAAAACCTTGACAATATCGTTTGAGGCCATGCTGAATACTTTTAAATCTTCATCTTCTCTTGTAAAAAGTACCTCGTTATATCTGAAAATTTTTACTTTATTTTTGAATTAATAATAAAAGTAATAAAAATATATATATGCACAATGTAATTCAATGTTTTGTCAATTAATGTATGCCAAATAAAAATTGTCAAAAAATTGACTTTATTAGTTCTTTATTATTCTGGGATAGTCAGGTTAGCTCAGATGAAGCACACAAAACTTTTTTTTTTATTTTTGGCAAACCCTTTTTTCTTTCGCAACTTCTTTTTTTTTTCTTCCTACAATGTGTCAATTTTTATTTCACAGACATTACTGTTATTATAACTAGAAAAATATTTAATTCAAAAACCGTTGCATAAGGAACTGCCAGTATTCAATTGACACACCAGGAGCAACTGATAATGCTCTTTCCCACTATTAATTTAAACAAATAACTATTAAAAAAAATCAAAAGAAAATATTTAAATAATTATCTCTATATACTTGTAAATATGAAATGTGTTTAAAAAGTAAAGTGACTTTACATTTTTTATGAAAATATATTTACTGTTCAATTTTTAATTTGTCTTCTTCAAAGTACACTATGTAATCCCTTATATACATAGATAAGTATTTGACTTATATAAGTATTTTGAAAATCCCGGAAATTTTTTTATATTTAAAATCCCAGAAAGTCCCGGAAAATTAATTAATTGGAAATTGATTGTTTTACAAGGTTATTCATTTTTATATGCGCGTCTATTGATTTTTATATGCGTGTTTATTCATTCTTATATGCGCATTTATTCATTTAACTCATTTATTCATTTAATAATGTAATAAAATTAAACAAGTCTCCGTTTTAAGTATTTTTAACCTCGTTTACCAGGAAATAAGAAAAATTTGTTTTGAAAAAAGTAAATTGTTTTTTCAAAACAAAATGCTTAAATGATTTTTTTTGTTCTTATTGCTTTTTTAAAACGCATATAAGAATGAATAAATACGCATATAAAATTGAATAGACGCGCATATAAGAATGAATAACCCTGTAAAAGACAACAAAAACATTCGGAAAACGGAATTTAGAATATTTAACTTTTTACAAAAAGAAATTTCTAATATTCGAAAAAGTTAATTTGAATGAATTAAAAAGCAAAAAAAAAAAAAAGTAAAAAAATTGTTACAAAAATTGATCTCGTAAAAATTTTAATTATAGAAAACATTTTTTTAAATGCAAAAGTTGTCGTATTTAAAATTTTATGTAAAAATATATAATTTTTTTTTTAAATTAATAACAAAAAACATCCGGAAATTTCTGGAAAATTAAAAGTGAATTTCTGGTATTCCGGGAATTCCGGAAAAAACTCATCTATGTATATAAAACATGTGATAATGCTTTTTCCATTCCTCAAAGCAATTCTGACTTTTTTTGACTTTTTGGTATAGTCTTGAGCTCTTCCAGTGATGCAGTTTTATCTCCTCAATCGCTACAAATCTTTGTCTTTTCATTTTTGTCACTTCAGTTTTGGAAACAGAAAAAAGTCATAGGGAGCCATATCAAGTGAGCATGGATAAGAGGTTGTTTTTGGAGAAAAAAATCTCTCACAAGCAACAATGAGTAAACGGTGTATTACCAAAAGCATTGAAATGTTTTTTAACACTAATCCTAACATTTTTTTATACTGCTTCATGCAAACAAATCTTTTTATTTAACAGAAAAAAGCTAAGCCACCTAAATACATCTGATACTTTTTTCTGTAAATAAAAAACTGTACAAACATATAAAAATGAAACAAATCAAAATCAAATTTATATTGTCTGCAATATTTGAAAAGTTACCTTACTTTTTAAACACAACTTGATATCTCTATATTATTAAAACTTAAAAATTTTACATATAAAATCTTTTTAAAAATATTACTTGATTTAGTTCAACCATAATCTCGCAATATTTTTCAAGCTGTCCAATAGATATATATATGTTTGCAGCTTTTAACAACATTTCTTTCTTTTTCTTTGAAGCAATTCCTTTGCTGAAGTTAGATTTAGCCATCTCTAACTCTTGTGCTTCAGCCTATAAATCAAACAAAATTTATAATCATATGAACTAAATAACTTTTTTTGCAAAATAAGTATTTTGTATTTAAAACTCTTAATAAAAAATTAGCTTTGAAAAAACAAAAAAAAAACAAGTAGGGCATAGCTATAGAGAAACAGGCACCCATCCCAACCCTTGAAAAATTTTTGATTTGATTTAGTTTTATTTTTTTAAACATGTTTCTAAACTTTAAAACATTTCTCTGGGTTTGAGGTTTTTTTTTTAAAGGTTTCACAAAATTTTTAACTAGAAACCCTCATACCCATATGTGGTAGTAGTGTAATGGTAGAGCGCTTGCCTAATAAGCAAGAAGTTTCGAGTTCGATCTTCACCATATCCCTGGTAGTACCGCGCTCAACTTGTTTCTCCGCGCAGCGGCCTTGTTTGTCAATGTTCTTGTTTTGGAGTTATAGAGTTGAGAGAGGGTTGTAACCACTAAAGTAGCCTTCTTGACTGTAGCAGCCTTCTCGGCCTTAAGGAGGTGAATAACTAAAAAAAAATAAATATGGAGGCTTCTAGCTCAAAATATTGTAACCTCTAAACCTTTAAAAAAAAGTAGCTAAAGAGATAATAAAACAAATAAATATAACAAAAATTGCTCAAATTAAACTATTACAGCTTTGTATTTGACTAAATGTAATGCGTGCATGATTCCCTCATTGTAGGTACTTGGTAGAACTGCTTTTCTTCCATCTTTTATTACAGAAATAAGCAGCCAAAAGTTTCTCAAATTGATTGGAGGCTTAAATAAAATAATGAAGAAAATTAGAAAAAATAAAAATACTATTGATTGTACCTTCATATTGCTAACAACAACAACAAAAAAATTAAAAAATAAATAAATTGAAGAGTTGTTTATTATCAAAATAAAAAGTATGCGCTAGCAAACGATAAAAAAAATCCTCAATAGAAACATATTTTATTAAATGTTTTAGATATACAAGAGCTATAAACATTCAATCCTTGATAAAAATCAAAAACAAATCAAAGTACTAAATAATTATGAGCTAAAAATTTATAGTTTTTTTAAAAGGTGTTTCTTCTTGGAATTGACTTTTATAATCATTACCCAATAAAGTAAAACTGAAAACAAACATGGTAAGAAAGCATTCTAAACCAAAATTTAAAAATGTTCATTAGTGTGATATTGTTGATTTTTAACTTAATTTGTTGCCAATATCTTTTAATAATTACTTTTCAATAATTTATATTCCCTTACATTTGATGCCAATTTCTTTTAATAACTATATATTTTGAATTATGATAAATAATGATTAAGTTGAGAATAAACAGTGATAGATTGACTGTATTATTTTAAATTAGGTGTTTGCAGTCAGCCTTAGTGTCAGGTTTTTTTGCAACCAGGCTTAGAGTCAGGTTTTTTCTAGTTAGCCTCAGTGTCAGGTTTTTTTTTCAGTCAGCCTTAGTTTTAGGTTTGAAAATTTTTTATTATACTTTTACATTCAATCTCTTTTTTCTTAAGATGTTTTTAAATCTTGAACTTATTTTTATTTAAATTTATGATTTTTTTTTTTCTTGAATTTTAAATGAACTTTGAAATAGTAAACACTTAGGCTATTACTAGTAAAGACTAATACTAAGGATAATTAATTGTAAGTTTTTACTTTTTAAATTATTTTTCAGGAAAAAACTAATGAGTTAGATCATTTATTGTGAACACTTGAATAGTTTGGCCATTTACTTTTTTTTTCCACACAGACAACATTAAATGTTATAATACAAAATTTAAAAACTGAATGAATATAAAAATAAAATTAGATGATATTTTGTTTTATCTCTAATTTACAAGTATATTCTTACCTAATCTCCCTTATATATATATATATATATATATATATATATATATATATATATATATATATATATATATATATATATATATATATATATATACAGTAGCTTTCATAAATTTAGACGCATTCATTTTTTTTTTCATATATGTAAGAAAATACTCAAAATAAAAATAAAATAAAAGTGCTACCGCTATGTTTGATATATAATTTAAAAGAGGAAATGAAACTCTATTATAAAGTACCTTAATTTTTTTTTACAGGATGTTTATTACTCATTCTATACCGATTAACACAAAAAAGTTAATTGATAAACTTGATTTTATTTTGTTCATAAATTTAGACGCACAATTAAAAAAGTCTTATATCTTGTTAATTGATAGTTAATTAGTAGTTTTTTTCTCATATTTCTCATTAATAGGCTTAAATTAATTGATTTTGTCAAAAAACCTTATATAAATATGACTTACCTGGAATTAGTTAATCATTATTTAATAAATAAACAAAAGTTAAGTTAGTTTTGCGCTAAAAAGACGCAAAAAATGGGCAAAAGACGTATCACTCAAGGTGAAAGATGGCAAATTATTGGGCACATCAAAGAAGGAACCAAAAGTAATAGAGAAATCGCCAAGTTAATTGGAGTTTCTGAGAAATGCGTTCGGACAACGAAACAAAACTTTCTTCACACTGGTGGTGCCAGAGAGAAAACAAGGCCAGGTAGACCTTTGTCAACCACGAGAAAGGACGATAGTGTTCTTTTTAGAGCTGTCAGAGCTAATCCAAGAATTAGTTACAAAGAATTGACCACAGAATTCAATACAACGCGAAATACATCTATTTCTCAAAGCACAGCCCGACGAATACTTATCAAATACAAGATTGGAGTCTACACTGCTTTGAAGAAACTGCTTCTGCGTCCATATGATAAACAAAGGAGACTAAAATGGTGTCGTGAAAGAAGGTATTGGACAATAGATCAATGGGAAAACATTATGTGGAGTGATGAGAGTAACTTTGAGCTTATCAATCGCAAATCTAACATAACAGTCAAAAGAATGGCTCACGAAAAGTATTACGCCAGGTACATTAGACCAACTGTACAAAGTAAAGGAGGCTCGATAGGAATCTGGTCATGCTTCAATTACAAAGGTGTTGGTATGTGCCAAACATACACCGGAAGAATCAACTCCAGAATATACGTAGAAGTACTGGAAAACAACCTAATTCCATCAATTGACCTGCTTATGCTCAATGATAAACCATGGAAACTTCAACAAGATAGCGCTACTGCACATACTGCATACTATACAAAGGAGTGGTTCAACGATAATAATATCATGACAATTCCGTGGCCTCCATATTCACCTGATTTGAACCCGATTGAAAACATTTGGGCTTGGATTGACCGTAAATTAGCAAAGGTTCAAATTTCCACACTTGGTCAGCTGAAGGAATTCCTTAAGGAGACCTGGTATGGGGTCCCAGAAGCGATGTGCAAAAATCTTGTTGAGTCTATGCCTAGAAGAGTTCTTAGTTGTATTAAAGCAAAAGGCGGATACACAAAATATTGATTGGTTCATAAATTACGCCTTCTAATGAATCGTGCGTCTAAATTTATTAATAATTTTTTTTGTCTAATTTTTTTAATACCATGTAGTTGTACCTAATTATTACTTAGTATTTCATTTTTTTTGTAAACTTTTTTTAAATTTTGTATTCTGTATGTATTTATCTAATAAATAGAAAAAAAACTAAACCGAAATCTTTTTTCGTCATTATCGTTAAAAAACTAAAAATTTCTATTCTCAAATATGAGTGCGTCTAAATTTTTGAAAACCACTGTATATATATATATATATATATATATATATATATATATATATATATATATATATATATATATATATATATATATATATATATATATATATATATATATATATATATATATATATATATATATATATATATATATATATATATAAAGTAATATGGATTTACAAGCTAATTCAATAATAAAATAAAAAAAAACTAACCAAAAAGCAATGAGCATATAACTGCAATTTCTGTGCAAATGTTTTCGATTTACTTGATTTAATTAATTTCATAATGTTTCCAGACAATATTTCAATGCTATGTGGATGTTTACTTTTCTCTAAAAATTTATAAATATATATATATATATATATATATATATATATATATATATATATATATATATATATATATATATATATATATATATATATATATATATATATATATATATATATATACAGGAGGTGCAAAAAAAAAACCTTTTTTGATTAAAAAAACAAGAAAAAATGTCTTAAACTCATATAATAAAAGTAATTCAGAACAATTTTAAAAGAAATTTTTATAGAAATGTATATAATATTATTGTAAATTATATATAATGAAAAGAAATTAGGATTTGTAACATATTTTTCAAGTTTTATTTGTACTAGTATTTAATTGGCCATCCTTTGTTTCTTATGACTCCTGCGCATCTAAAAGGCATACTATCTACAAGTCTTTTTAATAAGTCATTTGAAAAAGCATTCCAATCCGCAAGAACAGTTTGGAACAGTTTATCTTTATTTGTTTCCCTACGATCTTGCAATTTCCTATCCAATATAGACCAAAGAATTTCTATTGGATTTATATCAGGAAAATGTGCTGGCCAAGACATAATTGGTATCAATTTTGATTCCAAATATCTTTTATTCAACTGTGCCACTTGATTGGGATCATTATCTTGTTGAAAGATGTAGTCATTATTAGGGAAAAGTTCTTCTATACTTGGTCCAAATTGATTAACTAAGACTTTGTGACAAATGTTGGTTCATGGTACCCTCTTCCTGTAAAGCTACCCAAACATTAAACTTTTTGTAATGTTTAATGGTTGCCTTGCATGTTTGGGGGTTGAACTTTTCCCCAATTAATTTCCAGCAGTGAGATCGACCATTATAAAACAACACAAAAGGAGACTCATCGCTCTTAATAACTTTAGCTCATTGCTCACATGTCCAAATTTTATGCTCAATGCACCACTTTATTCTTTTTTTACAACTAATTTCACTAAAAAAGGGTTTTTTTATTTGCTTTCCAGAAAAAAACTCACCTGATGCTTTTATTCGATGAGATATTGTCTATTTTGAAAAAACTAGCATGGTTAAAATCTAGTTTTATCTTAGAACATGTAATTTTACAATCTTTTTTGACGGCATTAGGAATATAGCAATTTTTCTTGTTTGAAGTTTTAGGGTTTCTCCCTTATAGGGATTGTAAATTTACAGACTTTTTGATTTACTGGTAATTCGGTAAATGAAAATTGTTATACTGATAAATCGGTAAATTACTGATAAACTTTATATATCAATAAATCAATACAACTTATATAAAATATCATTTTTCAAAAAGTAGTTTCTTAGAAAGCTTAAACTATCCAATGTCTTGTCTCCTAATCGAGATCTAATATTTATACAAATTAGTCCAGTTCCTGAAAATACTCTTTCAGGTTTTCAAAACAGTACTCCCTTTATTCTTGTCCTTTTATTTTTAAAGAAAAAGATAAAGTTTTTCCTTCATAGAAAAATCAGTATTTGGTTCAACAGTAATGAGGTCGTTATTTAAATCCAAATATGATTCATTTAGGTGCCTTTGGATATTCTCCACATTATTGTACAAAATATTTTCTACAATGTCAAAAATAGTTTTAATAACTACAGCTTTACTGCTGATATTAAAAATGCCATAATTGTCTTTAACAGAATTAATATCATTAGGGTCTGTTATATAGAGTAACACGTCTGAAATTATCATACTTCTTTCTTTAATACAACTTGTTAATTCATTTTTTAGTGCAATACTTAAAAAAGTGTTTTGGTTACTTAACTCGTCTAACATAAATTTTAATGTAAGATCGTCTACATATAAATTACCCTTTTCAGTACAGAGTGTTTTAACAGCCAACCTAATATGTTGCAAGCTTGATGTTATATTTGAAAGTAATTTTACTTCATTTTCATTATAATCAATGTCAACTTTTAAATCTATTAGACTTTTACGAACAGCATCTTTAAGTTTAAAAAATCTTTCCAGCATACTTAATAAAGTACTCCATCTAGTTTTACAGTCTAAAATTAAAGTTCTTTTCCGACAGAAAGTTCTTTTCCGACAGTTTCTTTAACGTATTTTTGCAGTAATTTATCATTTTTGGTACAAAATTTATTGAAAGGAATACCATCTTGTGCAATCATTCTTGAAAGTACAGTTTCAAGAGAATCGTCTCTTTTTTGATAAAAGAAGTAGTTTTCGATGCTATTGCAACTGCCGGTTCTTTTGCATGTTCTTCTTTTTTTTTTTTAAACATAAATTAGTCATTAAGTTCAAACAAAAGAGTGCTTTGCACTTTTATATTTTTAATTTTTAATCTATCGACAAGAAAATAAATAACTTAGATTAGATAAAAATATTTAGCAATTAGAAATTAAAACAATCCTTACATAGCAAAAAGCTTGATTTACCGGAAAAAAACTTGATCCAAATTTAAGTATTTACTGGTAAACCTATAACCAGTATTACAAAATAATAATAGATGTAATAATAATTGTCAGTGTTAGGTAAAAATAACATGAATTAAAAATATTGGATTTAGGATAGTAAAAAATGCAAAAAAATGCAAAAAATCCAAAATTGAAGAGAATTACAGAAATTGCCTTTAGCACTTAAAGACAAATGATTCAATTTAATTACTAATGGGGTATTTTAAAATTTTTTGTTAATCTGCAAGCAACCATAAAACTAAAACCTTCATTTTTCAATTTTACTTAGTTTACATGTAAATGCAACTTTCATTACCTTAGCCATTACATGATTTGAAAAAAAAGTAAATAATCAACTTACTCTTAAAAATAAATATATATATATATATATATATGTATATATATATATATATATATATATATATATATATATATATATATATATATATATGTATATATATATATGTATATATATATGTATATATATATGTATATATATATATATATATATATATATATATATATATACATATATGTATATATATATATATGTATGTATATATATACCTGCGTGACAAGAAAGTACACTATCCACTTCATGATCAGCCAAAAAAATAGCATAAATAGGTTGGGCAGTGCTTTGAAGATGCCATAAACGCAATGTAGAGTCACGTGAGGTAGAAGCAATTATAAATGGTTGCTGTGGATGACATGCTAAACCTATTATTTAAAGTAATGATTCCATTAAAAATCATAATATAAGTAATGTATAAACAAATTGTATTACAAAAAGATAATGATGTATCCTTTTTAACATTTACCTAAATACAACACTTGTTTAAAATTACCGATCTTTCACAATTTTTAATGAATTTATGTTATTTTTTTTAACAATTAGCATTATGTTAATGATATGAATTTAGTACCATAAGTTAGCAAAAGTTTCCATAAATTAGCAGAAAAGAAAAAATCAAAAAAACAAAAACAAAAAAATTAACATTAGAAACTAAGTGGATGTCTGTATTTTTTTTCTTATCAAATTTCTCTAATTTGAATCTTTGTTATCTAAACTATTATTCAGTATTTAATTTGTATGCTTGTACATTGTATAACTTGACAAGCTTGATTACATTTACTATACACAGTGTAATAATTAAACAATCTTTAGTTTTATTTAATGACTTAATTTCCACATAGTTATATTGTGCATTTGTTAATACTAATGTTTATTTTTTCCAGAGATTTTATTTTTCCTGTTTATAAGTTATTAAGTATTTGAAAATCATGAAAATGATTAAATTTCAACTTTTTCATTTTTAATTCATAAAAAAAAAAAAAATCTTTTAAAAATTTTTTTGTAACTTTTAACTGCTCTTCTAAATAATTCAAAAACATGTGATACCAAAAAACTATAATTGATTATGCCAAAATCTTATCAAATTTAATATATATATTTTTATATTGTAATGTAAGGTGTAATACAAGGTGCAATGCCTGATGTAATGCAAGGTGTCATGCAATGTGTAATGCAAGGTGAAATTAAAAAGTTCGGCAGTGCAAACCAGAGATTATGTTTTAATAATATTTTAACTTTTAATAATTATTTGTATTTTCTTTTAAAATTTTAAATCTTTATCTTTTAAAATGTTTGAAATAATTAAGTAAGAATAAAAGTCCCAAAAAGACAGACCAAGAAGTAATAAGTCTAAAAAATTCAGCTATCATCATTTAGGCAGGAAACGCATAAAACAAGTTTAAATAACTCTATTATATGAGGAAGTTGTTCAAAACTAGCTAACAGAAAACTTTTTCCCATTCTTTGCTCCTTTTACAAAACATTAGCAAGCTTTACATTGTATTAAAAATGAGTATTTTTTAAGATCTTTCCTCAACCAAGAGCTATAAGAGAAAGAGTTTTATACTAGAATTGCTTTCTTAGAGCCATTACTAGTAAATACAAATCCTAAAAGCCAGCAGAACATGTGACAAAATACAAATCCTAAAAGCCAGCAGAACATGTGACAGGTTGTATTAGGTAATATGTTACCAGTACAAGGCTTCTCCTGGCCAACCTTAGACATACTTAAATAAATATTGTCTTTACTTTACAAATATTTAGAATATTACTAAATGGAAAGAATAACAAAAAACTTTTAAAAACACAACATAATATTATGGGTAAAAATTCAAACAAAAATCACAAAAATCACAAAAGTGGGAGAAGTATGAAAAAAAAATTTATTTATTTTAATTTCATCATTTTATTTAAAGTTTAATTCTTTTAGGAACAATAATTAATAAATAATTAACAAAATATAACATAAAACTATATATTATTATTTTTTTTTTTTTTCAGAAGCGACAGTGAACTGCGTCACAATTTTTAAACACTTGGCAAAAAAATTTTAAAATTGTAGAGAACTTTCTATTTTACTTCCATTAGAATTTTTGTCATTAAAAAGTTAATTTAAGCTTCTTTTCATGTTAGTTCATAAACTACTAGTTTTTGAGTGTTTTTGTTTGACTAAACTACATTACCGGAGTTCTATTATAGGCTTTTTTGATCAACAAAGAAAACTGCAATTTATATATATATATATATATATATATATATATATATATATATATATATATATATATATATATATATATATATATATATATATATATATATATATATATATATATATTAAGGTGGTCCAAAAAAATGAAGTTTGAAAATTCTGTTCATATAATATTAGAGAATTTCTGTAAAAATTTAAAGCAAATCGGACATTAATTAGGGGTCAATAAAAATTTTGACTTTTCATGTATGAGGTTTATACTCTCAAAAGAGTAAAAATTTCATTTGATATTTTCACATTTAATATTTAAAATTTTAAATAAAAAATTCTTATAATACTGATTTCAAAAGTATGACATATAAGTAATGCCCCACCAAATATCATCTACCTTGATCATAGCTGCCTTAGAGGAGGATGGGTAAATCTGGCGATGTCGCTTGATAAAACGAAGCAAAAACTGTTTTTGGTCCTAGTCTTTAGTGAGAGTTTCATTATATTTCTGGATAAGTCTATCTGCACTATCATTGACAACCTTCATCTTGTCGACTCAATCCTTCATATTTTGGTAGCAAGCATCTGATTCTAATGCTTCTGGATCTTTCAACGGAAAACTCTTGGCCTCCTACTTTCCAGCGATACTAAGTACTTTGAAGAGACAAAATGTTCTTTGAGTTACAAACTTTTTTGTGGCGCAGACTTCGATCATCTTTGTAACTCAAATGTTCTTTGAGTTACAAAGATGATCGAAGTCTGCGCCACATGTGCTTATTCTCTTCAGAGCTGACTGAGTCTTTGGAAGCTGGAGGTTGGCTACCATGGCTCTTTTAACATCTAGAGGGACTCAGTTATCAAAAAAAGCTAAGCCCACGAGATGTTCTGAGAAGAACCACAGATATTGAGTAAATGCAGTGTAAGCCGCATCAGCAATGATACGGTTTGGATTTTTCTTGAGAAGCCCGATCATCATTGCATCATTCAGGGGAGCATATGAAGCCAGTGGAGCCTCATGCCAGAAAATTCATAAATGAGAGAAACAAAGAGTGCCAGCTCCTTCAGACCTCACTTTTCTTTAGCAGTCAATTCCAATTGCCCTTCAAATAGCACCACTTTTAAAGAATAAATGGCCTTCAATATCCATTGAGCATGATGCATTGCTCCTGGAAGTTCATCTTAAAACTGCTTCTATCAAGGAAGACAAGACATAGCTGAAGAAGCTCAAGGTAATCCTCCTGAGGCTACTGATGTCCTATGGCTTTGGTGTAGTAGATAACCATCTCCGTCTAAAGAGTTTTGATATCCTCATTAAAGATTTTGTCTCTAGCTGGCGAATACTCTGTTTGCGTAATGTAAGGCCATTTCTTCTGAAACCTCTTAAAAAGACCAAGTCCTGGTCAACCTGTCCCACCAAAAACAGCTGTAAAGACACTGCTCAGGACATGATGATGGCATCCAATGTTTACAAGTTCATGGCCAATGGCTTCCTCAATAAGAATGCATGCCCCTCAATGGATGCCTGTGTTGAAGGAAGTTGTATTAAATACCAGACCTTGAACTTTTTCTCGTAGATACCAGTCATCTAGTAATTTTAAGCATGCAGCCTGTTCTTCCCCAGTTCTTCCGATAATTTTTGGGACTGCCAACAACTTCTCAATACCATTCCCAGTAACGATCACAGCAATTCGATCGACAATTTCTATTGCACCAGCTATGTCTGGAAGCAGTTTCCCATCCAAATAAAAAAGAAGAGGAAATTCGATTAAAAAGAACTCTTCTCTGCTTCAGCTACTTTGTTGCGGGTAGCCATCCATGACCTTCTGATGGTGCTCCTAGACATTGTCAGGTTGTCAAGGACATCGTCCTCGTCTTCAGACTTAGATGAAGAACTGATATCCAAAGCAAGACCAGATGTTTTTATTTGCTGCAACTTTTCTGTCTCTTTCAATCTTTGATTTTCATTAGTTTCTATATGAGCTCTTTTCTTCGACTCTTTCTCTGCAAAATTGCTATCCACTCCAACCATGCTTGAACTGGTGACATCTCTTTGCATTGTTAGGAATTGTCTTCATTGTTCGTCATGATGTCCAAAGCATTCTTTGTGGCCAAGTCAAAAAGTTCCCTCAGGTCCTTTTTGAACATTTGCTCTTTAAATCTGCAACTTTCATATGCTTTTGTCCTATTCACCTTCAACAGTTGATATTCACTATATGACTTCTTCAGTTTTCTTTCACCAGAATCAATCCTCTAAGAATCAATCCTCTAATTCTTGCTTAGCTCTAAATATATTGATATCTTTAATTGTGCGAATAATACTGTCCTTCACAGTAAGGTATTCTTCAAGGTGGTAAAAGAAGAGGCAGCAAATGGTATCACCATTAGTAGCCAATCTTGCTGAAGAGAATTGGTTGGTGGCCTTGCCAACAAGCCAAACTTCAGCAGAACTTCTTGTTGCAGCTGCCATTATGTAATTAAGTACCTGCCTGTAGATATAAAAAAATACTAAATAGTAAATATTGTCATAAAATTGCTGTTCATGAATGTTATGTTCAAATGTTCATTTTATTTTAAAAATAATAGTTTTTAAAATATAATGAACATTCAACATTTGAACATAACATTCAAATATTCAATGTTCATTTGAGTCCTCATTATGTGACTGATAAATTGATAATATTACACTAATCCATTTAATAAACAAAAGATTATTAATTAACTATTCATGGTAACTAATTAATTGTAATTATGTAATATGTGTATAAAGCAACTGATGCAAATTACTAACCTTTTAAGCTTTTCTTCTAGTCAGAATAAAAATTCAAAAATACTATATATTTGAAGAAATTTCAACTTTTAAAAATTATTTGCTGATGGCAAGATGTCTGCTGTTTACAAATTGCACAAAGAACTAGAACAATTACTTTGTATTTGTTTGTCCCAGAAAGCCTGTTCAGAAAAACAAAACTAAAAATTATGTATAAACACTCAACAATGTAATTTCTGCTACAAACGTACCATAAAATTAGCTGCTTGCCCAAAAAAAAAAAAAAACTCTATTAAATTTGCTATCTTACAATTTTTCTGTCTAAAATAAATGTGACAGTAAAGAATAAAATGAATGTGAAGTAAGAAATATCTACGTTTTTATTATGAAATATGTTTTTTCAATAACTATTTATTAAAAATAATTAATATTAAAAACATGTTGTTAAAGTTATTAACAATAAGCATTTTAAACTATATTTTTTGGAATTTATTTTTAGAAAAAGTAAAACTAATAATAATAATGGTTTAAATATCAAAATTATTCATTGGACATTAGATCTTGGGTCATTTGCGATAGAAAAAAGGCCTAACCTTCAAGCAATGTGCTGAAAAATATCAAATATCAGTAAGTGATGTTAGAAAGATGTGTTTTTCAATGCATTTAGAAGCCATTTTGTTTTTAATGTTTTTATTACTTATCGACAACCTCAATGTTTCTACAAAAAAAAACTGTTTACTATATATAGCATTTAAAAATACAACTTGTGACTCTTGTCAACAATTAATGGTTGTTATACAAAACGTTTAAATAATAAAAATATGCAACATGTGACTTTTATCAATAATTAGCAAAGCTAATTATTGACAAATTATTGACGCACATTAAAATCACAACAAGATGTGAATAAAATAAAACAACTGGTTCTGTTGTAAATCAGAAAAGACTTGGTCGCCCCCCTATGACTTCAACAAGAACTGATACATATATATACATATATATATATATATATATATATATATATATATATATATATATATATATATATATATATATATATATATATATATATATATATATATATATATATATATATATATACATATATATATATACATATATAATATTATAAGTATATATATTATATATATTATATATATATATATATATTTAATATTATATGTATATATAATATTATTATATTATATATATATAATAATATTCTTGTCACGATAAGAAGCCAACTCCCTCTGATTGCTTGCAGGGGGCATCTGAGCTCGAAAAGAATCTCACTTCTGCTACAGCATGGGGCTCGCAGTGGCTGGTGAACTTTAATTCAGATAAAACTCAAATTTTTTCGGCCAATCGTTATCGCAATAATTTAGACCTTCCTATATTTATGACCAGTAATGTACTCGATGAGTCTCCTACCCTTCATCTTCTAGGATTAACTCTTACTTCTGATCTTTCTTGGAAACCTTATATCAAATCCGTTTCAAAATTAGCATCTGCTAAAGTTGCTTCTCTTTATTGAGCTCTTCACTTTCTTACTCTGGATTCTATTCTCTATCTCTATAAATCTCAAATCCGGCCTTGTATGGAATACTGTTGCCATATCTGGGGCGGATCTTCTAATGATGCCCTTTCTCTTTTAGACAAGGTGCAAAAAGGCATTGTAAACATAGTTGGACCTGCTCTTGCAGCCAACCTTCAACCTCTGTCACATCGTTGTAATGTTGCTTCTCTTTCTCTTTTCTACAAATACTATAATGGGCACTGCTCTAAAGAGCTAGCGTCTCTTGTGCCATCTACTAAAATTCATTCTCGTGTTACTCGTCATTCAATTAAGTCTCATCCTTTTTCTGTTACTGTTCCTAAGTGCTCCAAAAACTCTTCTATTCGTCTAGTTTTTTTCCTCGAACATCAGTTCTTTGGAATTCGCTTCCTTCATCTTGTTTCCTGATTCATATAATTTGCAATATTTTAAGTCGTCTGTCAATCGTTATCTTGCTCTACAATCTTCATCTTTTCTCTTCCAGTAACAAAAATATGTATGTATATATATATATATATATAATATATATATATATATATATATATATTATATATATTATGTATATGTATATTATATATGTATGTATATATATATATATATATATATATATATATATATATATATATATATATATATATATATATATATATATATATATATATATATATATATATATATACACACATATATAAAACATTTACATATATATATGTAAACATTTACATATATATTTTTTTTATTTATATATAAAAGATTTAGACTTTAACAAGTTTAACAAAAAGTGTTTTCCAATGGCGTGTCATCACTAATTTACCATTTTTGCAATTAAGACCTGCGATCTTGAGAATTGCAAACGCTGTATCTAAATTGTTTTGCGTATCCTACGCATGTAGTTGTTAGGCGTAACAGAAATTACTTTTTAGTCCAGTTAATTGTACCACTAAAATGTTGAGCATGTTTGACTATACCTGATGTGTCCCATCCCAATGATGTGTTATTAACATGTGTGGATATTTTATTTCTTGTTTTACCAACATAGCCCGCATTACATAAACAGTCCAACTGATAAATACCAGGTTAATTATTTGAATGCAATATCGATTTATTGTGACTTAAACAATAAATGATGTCACTTAAACCATAAATATGTATATATATATATATACAAATGCATATATATATATATATATATAAATATGTAGATATATAAATATGTATATATATATATATATATATATATATATATATATATATATATATATATATATATACATGTACACAAACATAAAAAAAGTAACTGCTGTTAAAATGCAATAGTGGTGAAGTGGTAGAGCGCTCATTTCATAAGCAAGAAGTTTCAAAATCAATCATGTCCTTGTTTGTACTAGGCTTAACTTGTTTATCCGAGCAGCCACCTTATTTGTCAAGGTTTGTGTTTCAGAGTTAAAGAGTTGAGAGATGGCTGTAAACACAATAAAATAGGCTACTCAACTGTAGTTGCTTTCTCAACCTTGGGGAGGTGAACAACATAAAAAAACTAAAACTAAAAATAGCTTAGTTACCGTAGACATCAGCAGCATGATCGGAAGTAGTATAAATACAATATCCCGTCCTAAAATCGAATTTGAATTAAAGTTATCAACAAAAAAAAAAAAAATTAAAGCTATAACATTTATACATATACTTTTCAAAAAAACAACCTGACATCCCAAACTTTAATAGAAAAATCCCAGCTTCCAGAAATAATCATATTTGAAATCTCTGGATTCCAAAGCAAACCACGAACAGGACCCGAATGACCTTCTAAACACTGAATACATTCTCCCTAAAAAGACAGAAAATGTTTTATTAGCTACATCAAAGGAATTACTAATAATAATAAATAATGGAATAACTAAATACCAAAAAGAAAAAAAAGAAAAAAACTTTTTTATTTGAAAATACATTAAAAAAAAATTTGCTGAACTAATTCACATTAATATATTATTATTATTCACCTGTAATGAAAGTCATTATACTAACAAAAAATAATCATCAAATTAGCTAAAATCCAGTAAATTATTAAAATTACTATTCGTATTTTTATTGTAAATTTTGAGCAAATGAATCATATAGAAACTCAATTGTAAGTAATTATATTGTAAGATATTAGGTCATAATAGTATTAATATTAACTGATCCTTATTGTTTTAAATAGTAGGATAGAAGTAAAGGTCTTTCATAAAACATTATATAAATGTTCTGGGCAATATTTAAATCAAACCTAATTTTAATGTTGCTGTTAATGTTGCAAGATAAATTAAAAATACCTAACAATACCCAGCTTACACCCAATACCTAATAACACCATGCTTACATAATAACACCCTCATAACTAACTAACTAATAACTTACACCCACCTTATAACACCCAGGTTGGAACTATTTAAAAATTAGTCTATTTAAAACTATTCTTATTTTAAATTAAAAATATAAAAAAAATAATCAAAGTTAATTAAAAAAAGTTTTTGTTTAATCAGAACTTATGAAATATACTATTTTCCAAAAATCCCTAAAGTTACTTATTCATATCGGTAATCCTCTTGTGTATTTATTTACCTATTTTCTTAAACTTTCATTTCAACTCTTTTTGTAACTGTAAGAAAAATATTTGCGGTTTTATTTTTTTGATTTACTGTTATTTCTTTTGTTATAAAACCTTTTTAATACTTCTTTTAATCTTTAACAATTAACCCAACTTCTTTCTATGGTCGAAAGCCTTCTGGTATCCACAAGATACAGGTGCCTGTTTTGATCAAATTTGTTGATGACGACACAAATCTCTGTTCCTTAGATAGAGACTCCAGCGATGAGGAAGATATAACTAATTGTGAACTATTTTTGCCAATATCTTCTTCTTCCAGTGAGGAAGTCGATAGCAGTGATGAAAGTGATGACAGTAATGACAATCAGTCACTTTCAATATTAAGAAAAGCAAATGGAAGCACGGGTCAAAAACACGGTATAACAGGGGTGCAAACTACCAAGAAAGCTAATACAAATGGAAAAAAGCCTGCAAAGAAATCTCAGCCATTGTGGAAAGTTGAAAACCTTCCAAACAAACAAGAAGACCACAAATTTAGAAATAACTATGAACAACAAATGAACGAGTTATTGGATTGTCTTGGTTCAGAATTGTCATACTTTTATCGGATTTTTCCAAAAGAGCTTTTTCAAGAAATTGCTTATCAGACAAGGTTGTATTCCATGCAAACCAATCCGGAAAATCCAGTTGCTGTAAAAAAGGAAGACATAATTAGTTTTGTTACATGCGTCTTGTACATGTCCATTGTCAAACTCCCAAGCACAAGAGATTATTGGTCATCTTTTTTTGGAATTGCTCATGTAGCTGATATTATGCCCATCAACCACTTGAAAAATTAAAAAGCATTATTCATTTTGATGACAATACCTCTGCTGACAAAACGATAAGCTTTTCAAGCTTTTTCACCCTCTCATAAACAAAATGAATGAACAGCTGAACAGTATTCCAATTGAAGTTTGGCGTTGATGAGCAGATTATTCTATTCAAAAGGATCAAACAATACAACCCTAAAAAATCGCAAAAGTGGGGTTTTTAAGTTTTTGTTCTAAGCGGCGTCTCTGGCTTCAGCTATAGTTTTGAAGTTTAATGTGGAGGAAGTGATAACATTTACTTTGATAATGAACCAGCTATCGGAACAAGTAGTAATACTGTCATGCACCTAGCCCAAATCCTGCCAGTTGACGTCAATCATAAATTGTATGCTGATAATTGGTTCAACAGCATTGGGTTGAATGTTTGATATGTTCAAGAAAGGAATTCAAATGGTTGGAACTGCACGTAGGAACCGTGTTGGAAATTTTCCAGTCTTGTCAGATAAGGAAATGAAGCAAAGGGATCGCAGAACATTTACTGAACATGTTGCCAAGGTTAATAGGGTTGATGTATCTGTGGTTTCCTGGTTTGACAACAAACCTTGTTGTCTAATTTTATTGGAAGTAAACCTTAAATTGAGGTTAGAAGACTTTCAAGAAAAGATCGTGCCATATCAACATTTCCTGTCCAGGAGTTCTCAGTATTTACAACAAGCACACGGGCAGAGTCAACTTGCTTGATTCCCTACTTGGAATAAGATTTGGTCAAAAGTGGTATCACCGAATTTTTTTCTACTTGATTGATATGACCATAATCAATGCCTGGATTCTGTCGCAAAAGCGTAATCCGTCAACTCCACTTGTCAGATTCAAATTGGCTACAGCAGATTTATTGTCTATTTACCAGGTGTCACGTAAATGGAAAGCGGGTCGCCCATTACTTGCTGATATCACGCCATGTGTTGGTCCAGAAAAAATTAATTTTGTGAGGTGTGACACTGCACTGTGTCTTAATAAGGGCCGCAACTGTTTTAAAGCTTTCCATTAATCAAAATTTTGTTTATAATGATGTCTTAATTGAGTGTATATAACTATCAAGGTCATATTCCAAGATAAACTCTGTTTATCTTGGAATATGACCTTGATAACAAACATTAGTTTATCAATTGTTCATAAAGTTCCGCTACTGCATGAAGTATCATATATGACACAATAAAATATTTTGCAATTAATTGATCTTAAATTTTTTTTTTTTTTGTATAGATATTAGGTCATAGAATTCTTCTAGAATCACTAGTTTAGTTCAATATAAAAAAGCTATGCAAAAATGGGTTAACAAAAAATATTTATATTTTTCATGCAAACATAATATTTATTCCGTTATTTAATTTTACTTACCAAAGAGTAATCCCAAACTCGAATAGTTCTATAAAAAAGTTGTATAAAATAAACAACTACATCAAAAAATATTTTTTACCTTTAAAGTTTAAAACCCACACTTTATGTACCATTGTTATAAAACTATAAAATAAAATTAAAAAAAAAGATTTTACTTGTCATCAGATCCACTACAAAGAACTCCATCTTTTATAGGACTCCACTTTACATTAAAAACTTTTGCAGTATGACCTAAATGCAAAAAAGGTTTTTTTAAACACCAATACTACATTAATAAAACAATAATAAAAGTAATAATAATAATAAATACTATTAAACTTGTAAAATTGTTTTGATTGTTTAACTTTAATGACGTTAATAAATAATGATGAATTATTAAGTTAATAAATGATGATAAATACACTTAAAAAGTTATAAAAGTTTAAAAAGACTCCATTAAAATCAGGGTTGCAAAAAAAACCGTTTTTTTTTAAAAAAAAACAAAAACCATAGGTTTTTTTAAAAAAACCAAAAAAACCATGGTTTTTTTGGTTTAAATTTGGTTTTTACTAAAAAATGCGGTATTAAGTTATCTTTTTAAATTAAAAAAAGCATAACGTATTTCATTTAAGTAAACTATATTCTTTATCAATATTTTTGTTATATTTCATCAAAATTATTTAATATATCATTGTTTAATGTTCTACATATAAATACAAGCTTTGCTGCTTTTTCTACCCCCAATCGGTTTCTTAACTTAGAATGAAAAAAACCAAAAGTTGAAAAAATTCTTTTGATTCCAGCACCAGAAGCTGGTGCATTTAATAAACCTTCAATATCCATTATGTTATAGTAGATTTGGCTTTTAATTTGAATAATATTGGTAACAAATTCTTGAACTCTTTATCTGTGAAATTTTCACATACAAAATCACATACAGAATTCCAGCGAGTTTCAGCAGGAAGTGGCAATTTTGTTCCTCCCTTAATTTATAAAGTGCTCCAGCTTGATGATTATTGCTTATATATTTTATTAGTGTAACATGCTTGCTTACATTTTCAATGTTAAGATCATTTGCTAAAAAATTCAGCATATGAGGAGCACACCCATAAGTTATGACAATATCTCTTTCAGATAACAATACTTGTCTCATTGATTTCACATTAGCTGCATTGTCAGTCACAAAGCTTTTTACTGTGCATCCAAATTTACGCCTTACAAAATCTATTGCTTCTCTTGCTAATTGTGTAAAATATTCACCAGGATGTGAATGACCAGAAGTGTTGATTGTTTCTACTAAAATGTTAATTTTATCTGTAATTACAGAGATACAAACTATAGGTTCATTATGTACATTACTCCAGCCATCTAAAGACATGGCTACAATTTACCCATTCAATACATTACATTTTTCAATTTCTTCTGTGTAAACCCTATTTAATATTTCTCCCCCAATTTCTGTTCTATTAGTTAGAATGTATCCTGGATGAAGCATATTGATAATATATATCTATATTGAAGATTAGTTATATTTGTGAACATAACCCTGTCTTATTTCCTGTTCTAAGTTCAAACCTTTTTAAAAAAACATTAGTTTGGTTTAAACCAACATTTTTTTAATTGGTTTAAATCATGGTTAAAACCATGCATAAACCAATGGTTTAAACCATTTGGTTAAAACCATGCAACCCTGATTAAAATTTAAAAACACTCGAGAAAAAAAAGGTTAACACAGCCTTTGTCCTATCATTATAAAGTTACATCTTTTTCTCTTTTCATGGTTGCTGCTCAAAAGAATTATCATCTCTAGTTTGATCAACCAAAACACATTTTGTTTGACAAGTTACATTCTTTTCACAGTATCTGTCTCTTCATGCTTTAGAAACACTTATTCATCTACTATTCACATGTAATGCATTCACTGTTTGAATTGGTTACCAGAAAACAAAGAATACTGTTAAAGAGCAATAAAACAGTTGAAAGATGACTTGAAAAACTGTAAACTGTATTAGTCAAGAAAATGTGAAGATAAGAGAGAGTTCCAAAGCATTATTATGCAAAAAAAAAACTAGATGAATAAAAGTTTTTAGAGAATGAAAGGACATATACAGTAAAAATCAAACAACTTTACTGAATGATGGAATAGCAGCGAGAGCAATTACATTCAAATTACACTTTTGGGTCTTGTCTAAAAGTGAAGGGGCATCACTAGAAGAACCATTCCAAATATCACAACAGTATTCGATACAGGGAGATTTATTAAAATAAGTTAAAAGCCACAAGCCCTAAGCCCTAAGTTGTCACAGAAAAGTGATTTGGATCAGACATTCAAGATGGCTGTACGTCTTGCCTGTTCTAAACAATCAAAAAATGATAACTTTTTACCAAGACTGGTGCATATAGTTGAAGTATGTAGACTGGAGTATATAGCCACTAAAAAGATCATTAATACAGATGTGAGATAATACAAGAACTACAAAGATGGAAAGAGGCACATTTTTTATTAAGGCAATTAAAAATATGAAAGCCATGTTAAGTTCATTCTATATTATACAATTTAGATTATGCTATAGCGTTTCACAGCAACTTATAAAAGTCTGCGTCATGATTTTAATCCTGTCAACTAAAATTGCTTTTTTATGGTTCAATACCAACATAAAATACGTATTGAAAGATTAGATAATTTAAGATTACGAAATTAATCATTTAAACTTTAGACATTACTTAGTTAAAATAACATTGGAATATTACTTAGTTTTACAGAGGTTTTTGAATTATAAAGAAAATCCATTCACCACTTTTGTTATTTAGAAACTTAAATTTCAAAACAACAACAATAAAAGTGATAATTCTTATTTAAAAAAAACCTACGTGAAGTCAACAAACTAATTGCATATTTGAAAACGCAGTAAAAACTTAATTTAGAACATCATAAATAATGCTAAATAAAAAAAATTGTTAACCAGTGTAAATAATAATTATACTTTAGTACATAAAAAGTTACCATGGAATACTTTCAGAACACTGTCTGTAGGAATGTAAAAGATTCTAACTAAGCCATCTTCACAAGCTGTAGCAAGCAAATCTCTAGAATACACTAATTTTAATTAAAACCATTAAAGTAAAAATGACTTCTTTTCTACACATACTTAAATTAGTATATACATATGAGCTCAATTTAGGCAGCCAACTGTTTTATCAACAAAATAGTGATAATTAGGGCAATTATTAAATACTATATTTTATTTATTTTTTTGTTTGTTTTTTTTGAATTTTTTTTTTTTTTTTTGATGATTTGCACAATATTGTGCAAGTTGACAAAGTAAAATTTAATTTTGTGCACATTTTTTTAAGTTAAACTTAATAATAAATAATAATAAATGCTTTTACAGGTCCTAAAATTTAAAAGGACATTTTAACTTTAAGGACCTGTAAAAACAAGTTAGTAGGGGTGTCCAAAAAACAACTTTTTTGAGAAAAACCTGCTGACACCCCCTAAATGTGTTTTATCTAATGCAAAAACACTAGGTTTAAAATTTTTTTGAACAAAAATTATTTTTAGGGGTAGCTCAAGGCCCTCAAAAATTTGACGGGTCCCTAATATTTTGAAAAAAAAACTTTTTCTAAAGTATGTCAACCTGGTACTCAAAAGAAGCGATATTGTATAAAAACTTCAAAAATAATAATCATTTTACATAAAAAACATGCCTAAAAAAAATTATTCTCAAAAAACCTGAAAATATTGACTTTTTTTATTTTCAGCTTAAAAACAATAGTTTTTATGCATTTATACCTAAAAAAATTATTTTTATAAAAAATTATTATCATTTTTAAATTTTTTATATAATTTTGCTTCTTTTGAGTACCAGGTTGACATACTTTAGAAAAAGTTTTTTTTTCAAAATATTAGGGACCCGTCAAATTTTTGAGGGCCTTGAGCTACCCCTAAAAATAATTTTTGTTCAAAAAAATTTTAAACCTAGTGTTTTTGCATTAGATAAAACACATTTAGGGGGTGTCAGCAGGTTTTTCTCAAAAAAGTTGTTTTTTGGACACCCCTACAAGTTAGGATATTAAAAAACTTTATAGAATTATATAGACTACACCAAAAACCTTTTGGGTGAACCCCAAATATTACTTGTGGAATATTATTCTGAAATGGCACTGAAAATATATATTTTATTAATGCTTAAAAGAAAACTAAAAAATACTTAGAAATTTTTATAAACCAATAAAATAAAAAAAATAATTTATTTTAAAATAAACGCTGTGTCAGGGTTTAGAGGCTTCTGCAACTTGACTTTTTTGAGAGAAGCCATTTATACATTTTTTTTCATTTTCGACGTATTTTCTATCTTTTTTTTTTCTTTCCTCCTTTTCTCCATTTTGTTTCTTTTTCTTTTCATAAACAGCTTGTTGGTGGTTAAAAAAATTGATTCCAACATGAACAGCATGTGGTGTCTTAACAAGCTTCTTTGGATTTTTTCTGCTTATTATTACATTTTTTGAAACTGCTAGGTAATTTTTAAATGAAGAATACTCCCAATTTTTGTAAAACTTATGAGATGAAGTTGATGGTTAATAGGATATGTTATTAAAACTAGGATGTGATATGGTGGTCATATTTAACACAGGAAGTACAGTGTCATCATACCCATAAAAATTTAATTTTCCAGAGATTAGATTATTGGATTCTGTAGTTGTTGGGATGTTCTTGGACTGATATTGGAATGTTATTGGAATGTTGTTGGAATGTTATTGGATTCTGTAGTTGTTGGGAAGTTCTGGAGTTGTTGGGATGTTCATGTTGGATGTTCTTGGACTGCATAGGTTTGACACAAGCTTTGTGTCAGGTTGTTTGAGTATTATTTTACGTGCGGGAAATATACTTATTGCAGGTTTGTACTTTTGTAACAGTTGTAGCTTGTGTTACAGCTTCACAAGGTGTTACGACATCTGAATAAAAACTGAGCAATGGTTCAGGGGTAGAGATTTTTTAATTTGAATTAATGTGCAATCAATTATACATATTCCACTCCCGACCAGAAGTAGTCGTATCACTCTCAACATCATAGCCTTCTTCTAATCGTCTTCAAAACGTTACCAGGACATTCTCCGGTAATAACAATTCCATTTTTTTAAAGCACCTTAAGAAAGTAAACATTTCTGTTGATGAATTAGAAGATTGTGACAAAGGGAAAGATAACAGGCGCGTTGTTGTAGAAGAATCAACCAGTTTTGAATAGTCAATTGCCTCTGGATTAAATGGTATAAACCCACATTTCCTGAATCCCGATACAGCAGTATCTTGTTTACCTTTTGCTTTTTTCCAAGCATTGTTGAACACTGAAAAAAGGTTACCTTGTTCATTACCAAGTTAGGAAACTGATTGTTAAAATTTTTTAATGCCTCATTCCAATAAGTTTTGAGCGGCCGGTAGACGGAAACATCCAAGGCTTGCATCAAATAGCTAACATGAGCTGGAAAACAATATAGAATAATTCCATTGTCTCTACTGAACTCACAGAGATTGATATGCATTGACACAGACATTGATATACGTTGACTGACAGTCCATAAAAACAATTATTAGAAAAGAAACATTTTCTTTTACCAATGAATAGAAGTCATTTAACAACCACGAAAAGAAACAATTGCTAGAAATCCATCCATTAATGGTTTGCCCAATAATATAGTTAGATGGATTTACATGGTCTAAATTGTAATGAGGTCTCATGACAAAAATTGTCTCCGGATACACAGATTTCTTTTATAAAAATATGGCGCCTTACAAAGATTTCTCCAGTTACTAGTTTTAATTTCAGAAAGTAATGTAACTAACCTTATTATAAGTTAGGCTCTCCTTTTTCAAACTCAGAAAATTTAATTTTAGTAGTTCAGAAATTGCAATAGTATTTAAAAGACACAAGTTTAAATTAGTTATAATAATAACAGAGACACAAAACTATCAAAGCCTCATATCGTTTAGAAAAATAATATTTTATAATAATTACACCAGCTTTATATATTTTACATTGTGCAATATCAAAAAAATGTAAACAGAAATTTCCTTATAATTTAAAATAAATTTTGATTAAAAAAATCATTTAAATTCCTTGTAAACATGTCATAACACTGCATCAAAAATGTTTAATAAGTGTACGTTTAACTTTTTGTCATAAATAAACCACAATTGTATATACTTTTTAGTAAATAGTACTTTCAAACTTAAATCTTTATTTATCACAAAAAAAAAGTGCTGGTAAAGTAATTAAATTGCTTTTGTTTGTTTTTTTACAACAAGTAATATTCTTTGTTTGTAATATTTTTTATTTTTGTTTAATTTTAAATTAAAAAAAATTAAGATAACCTTATGATGTCAAAATAACCATGAGCTAATGTACTAAGTCCTTTTTATTTAAAACAAGGCCTGCAAGTGATACAATAGTTTTGTCTCTTGTTGTGTAATAATGTTACTCCTTAGTTACATAAAAATAATGAACATTAGTAACCAAACCAAAACATTTTATGTATATTACGTTTTTTTTTACATCTCAATATGTAATTGTGGGAGAGCAGAACAGTATCAAAAAAAAATTGCTACCGAAAAAAATTGCTCAAAAAACAGATTATTATCGAAATTTTTTTGATTGAAATGTTTTTTTGGGAATAAATATCAAAAATTAATTTTAAGGAATTAATTCGAAAAAAAAAAAAATTGAAATCATTTAAAAGAAATTATATCGAAAATGCCTATATGGAATAATATCAAAATTTGGAATTAGGAATAGTATCAAAAAACTGGCAAAGAGGTAGAACATGCAATGAGTGTTGCTACATCGACTGACATATACATAGAAGTAAGGAGTGCTACTACATCGACTAAGGGTTTGGTTTGACAGGCCGTCAATTTAAAAAAATTGAATCATAATTATTTTGATTTTCAACATTATTCAATTTTTAATTATTTTGATGTTGATCTTACTTTCAGGATTTTCGATTTTCTTTTTTCACAATTTCAATTTTATTCTCTATTTCAATATTATTCCAGAAAGTCTCCTTTCTTATCAGTTCAATTGGCTGTTTTCAATACTATTACTACTACCCAGTTATAGGGATCAAAAGCATTCCTGATTGAATTATTATTGCGGTGCTCTACTTTATATGTGATCCAATCCAATGCCATGCTACATATATATTCATATAGCTCATGTATTCATATAGTTCCCTCTTGTATATTCATATTAACATTATATAAAACAATTTATGAAATTTGAATGACAATACGTAGAAAAGTTTGAATGACAAATACATTTGCCTGAGAATAATTACTCATTAAAATCATTTAGTTTCTTCATGATGCTCTTGTTTGTTAATACTTATGAGATATAAAATATTCTCTGTGCAATAACTTTATAGACTACACAAAAAACTTTTAAAACAATCTAGTCAAGTTCATTTTAACATTTTGATGTTTTTATGCTTGTTTACTCCAGCCAAGTCATCACTACTTGAATTTAAATTTAAAAAACTTAGTAGTGTAAAAAAATACCTGTTTTTAGGACACCAATCACATCCAAACACTTGTTGAGGATGCTCGTATATCTTAACTGATGACCCATCAACCATACGAACTATACTAAAATGATTTTTTTTAATTCTTAATTTTTGGCCAACAACTTTTTAAACATTTTTATATAACAACTTATCAAATTTTTAAACATTTTCTTAAAACAATTGATGGTTAAAGACAAACCACTAAAAATGTGCTATTAGAAATGTTTCTTATGTCTAGCGGTGTTTCTTATGTCTAGAAGAGCTTTTAATGCCTAGAAGTGCTTCTTATTCCTAGGAGTGTTTCTTATATTGAAAACTAGTTAAATAAAAGTCACTAAAGTCAGATAATAACACTTAAGATAACTAAAGATAACCACTAAAGGTAAGTTGTCATTTCTTTTGTCACTATAAGAGGTAGAAAACAACAGGGGTTGATTTTTGATCAGGGCCGGGGCCGGGTTTGATAAAATATAGCCGAGGCAGGGTTTATGACCGGGGCTGCATAAACAATTATAGATCCTAAAGTTTTTCTTTTAATTCAAAATTCATGTTATATTTTGTATATATATGGATATACCAACATCATTATGATCAACATGACCATCATAACCATCATCATCATCATCATCATCATCATCATCATCATCATCATCATCATCATCATCATCATCATCATCATCATCATCATCATCATCATCATCATCATCATCATCATCATCATCATCATCATCATCATCATCATCATCATCATCATCATAGTCATCATCATCATCAGCTTTAGCCATCCTCTTTTATGCTGTTTCTCTAATATAAATAATCTAGAGCATTTTCCTTCTTTAACTAAACCTCATTCATACAATATATAAGGCCCTCTCTTCAAGTTTTCTTACTTCTACCACTACCATTTTCACCTGAAACTTCTACCTTTCTACATGCTGATACCTAAATCACTTTAATTTTCTCTAACAAACATTGTCCGATAAGACACTTTTTTCTAACCTGTCTAAGACTATGCCTGCTTTTATTGTCATTTTAGAGTCACACCACACATTCATCTGATCATCTTCTATTTTGGCAAATACTACACCATATAAATACTAAAGTTTATATAAATATGAAAGGATATTGTTTGCTAGCACCTAAATAAATAGCAAAAATATATGTTTATACCCATAATATGTATGCATAAAGCGTATCTTGGAAGCTTTTATTCTGGAATAAAAGCTTGGAAGCTTCTATTCCTTCTCTTCAATATTAAGTCAAGCCTCATTTTAGTCCGTATTTTTTTACCATTTTGAGCAGTTGTTTTATTAAACTCATTTTTTTTATTTTTTTTACAAGTACATCTCTCTTACAATCAAATATCCTTTTATTAGTCCAAGAAGCCAATGTAAAAAGGTCCTGTAATGTTAAGCTCTGCCATTCTTAGTTTATTAAATCTTGTTCCTTATCTCAGATGTAAAGATCTAGAGACTTTTGGTAAGTCTTCAACAGTGTCATTAACTAAAGCAAATCTAACATTTAATCTCTAATTCATGGGTCTGACTTTTTACTTTTCCCCAGAATTAGTGTAAGATTTTTTTGCAAAAAAATCTTACACTAACTCAAATCTTGAATGGCCACACTCTTAGTTTACTCATATACTAAAAACGAGCGTCACAGTTATTTTGAGCATCAAACTTATATTTTCTTCCTACTAGTTAAACAGATTAACTCATTGTTAAACATTAAACTCACTATGGCGTCTAATGCTAAAGTTAATTCTCAATTGAACACTTCTACAGTTTTTGCTTCAGACAAGATTTCCATCATAGTCTTAAAAAAGTGTTCTCTAGAATTCTCTTCAATTTTTGCTAAACTTTTAAAAAATGCTAAATAAGTGGTTTCAATTTTTCAAAACTCTAGAAAACACTTTGACCTCTTTAACTATCCTACGATTAGTCTTCACTCTGTTTTAGTTTCTTTATATAAAGTTTTTGAGATTAATAAATTATTTCTTTTTAACTACGGAATTAAAGTTATTCTTGAAGGCCTACACTCCACTTTAATTCAAGTAACTTTAAAGGTACCACAAAGTTCTATCTTTGCTCCTGTAATATTTCTTATCTACAATAATAATCTTCATGAAAATTTTACATGTAAAGTACCTCTATTAGCTAAGGTCTCAACTTTATACTCTTGTCTTGACAAAAAATCTTAACTTTTTGATTGCTCAGCCTAAGGCTTGCAGTGGATTTAAACTTTTTAAGGCAACAAAACTCATTTATTTACTGCAAAAAAAATATTGCAATATTGTTGGCATTCCTATATTGACAAATAGCAACCCTCTTACTCTCAGACAAAGTCTAAAAGCACATTGTAAATGTAGTTAGACTTGCTTTATCTGGCAAGCTTGAGCCACTCTCTCATTGTTGTAAGGTTGCATTTCTTTCTTTTTTCTATAAATACTATCATGGTCAATGTTAAAACGAGCTATCATCACTATTATGATAAACCAAAACTCATTCTTACTTGGCTTCTTATTCAACGAGTTGCATCCTTTTACTGTATCTGTCCCTTTATGCTTAAAAACTTTTATTAATTTTATTACACATCAAAAAAGCCTTTTCATTCTTCCCCATCTTTGTGTTTTCATTTTTAACACATCCTGCAACTTTTAAAGTCTTCAGTTAATCATTTTCCAGTATTTTAACCTGTCCTCTATTTTAAAGTAACTCATAACTTAATAGCCGTTTGCTTGTTGAATGTAAATTAGAGTTTAAAAATATATAACATATGCCAGTATGTAATAAATAGTAAATGTAAATTTAAAATTATAATACAAAAAGTCTCATTTTTGCCTCGGTCACTTACTAATAAGAGGTAACTAAATGTTAAAAAAAGAACTAAATAGAAATTTGGAAAATAAAAATAACCAGTTTTTATCAGCCCCACAACTGGCAATAAATCTTGAATCCTGTTTATTCCAAGAACATGAAAACACAGCTCCATCTTTATGTTCATCAAATACTTTTGCAACTATGTTTCTCTTAATATCCCACAATATCAGTCCATGTTTTGCAGTTGCTGCACATATAAAGTTGAGATCACCTGCATGCAAAAAAAAATATCTAAGTAAAAAATATTATTTACTATGTTTGTAACATAAAAATTTATAAAACCTAAAACAGGGATGATCCAGGTCATATTTTGAACATTTGGATAATTTTTTTCTACAAAACTCTAGAAAGAATTGGGAATATATATTTATTTCCACTTCTTGGAGCAAGGGAGGGGGAAGGGAGGAGGTGTTTTAATGAAAAATTTTTAATCAAAGACAATATGAATATTTTTATATTCATATAGTCCTTGATGCACTCTTGTACTTACTATAGCATTTATTGAAATAACAATTTTATAACAATTAAATAAACATCTGCAAAGCATTACAAAATAAGTTGTTGTGATTTTATATCATGTTTTAAAAATTTGATAAACATTTTTTTTTAATGTTTAAATGTTAAAATCAACAAAAGCACCTGTTCCCCAAGATAGGTTGTATATGATTCCATAATTTCCAGGAAGTACATGAATCTAAAATTATTATAAATAAATATAACATTATATAAAAAAAGTACAATTTTAAGACATAAATTTTTGTTATAAGTAAATTTTCATACATTGTATTGGTATAAATTCATAAATAAAAAGTATATATATTTATTACATTATTATTATTTTTATTATAAAATAATGTTTTTGTATGAGTTATTTTTGTATAAGTTGACTTTTCACAAAATATGCTAGTTTTAAATAACTATTTCAAGGTAAAGATGCAGAGTCCCAAAAAGGACTTCGGATTTGAAAGTCACAAAAAGTTTTTGTCCTAGTTTTTGGTATCCAGGAGCTCTAAAATATAAATAAGTTTATGAACTAATAATAGGAAAAAAAATCAACTCGTTTCTCCGCGCAGCGGCCTTGTTCGTCAAGGTTCGTGTTTCAGAGTTATAGAGTTAAGAGAGGGTTATAACCACAAATAAGTAGCCTTTAAAAGTAGAGATATAAAGCAGGAGTCCTTTTGGGACTCTGCATTCCTGTTTCAAAGTAATTACATGTTTAAGACATTTGGATTTTTTTAATTATTCAGTTTTTTTGCTTAATATAAACATTTTTATATTTTAATGGTAATTTAATAAACTTTAGGATTCTTTTTTAAATGTTAAATTTTTTTATCATAAAGTTTGACAAATGTTAACAATTGAATTTTTCCCGACCATAACTTATTTTGAGAGTTAAAAGTTTCTTTTTTTCCATAGACAATCGCTTATTGTTTATCAGTTGCTAATTTGAGTGATGGATACGTGGCCTATATATATGATATTCAATGGTATTTAGGAAATATTCTTAGTATTTCATAGGACCATCAAGATCTTCAAAATTTATTAAATTTATTAGTTTTTTAATGTAGCAAATTTACATGGTCATGCAGAGCTGATCCCAGTTGGGTACCTTTATTGCAAATTTTATGAAAAGTTATAAAGTTATAAACATTGAAATTTTATTTATTTCATTATAAGCATTTTATAACAAATAATATTATTTAATTCAATGCAATTATTTTGTTAACTTTAGAGTTTTAAAAAGACAAACAAAAATTTTAATTTCTTTTTATGGAAAATTTACCTAAATCTATTTTGGAATTATAAATAAATGCCCATTAATTTTTTTGGTTTTTATTAATTAACACTATTTCAGTGAGCCTATTAAAAATTTTAAGAAAAAAATAAGTATCATCTTTGGTAACAGATGCTTTGCATCAGAGATCAAATCATGATTTAGCTTACTATGATGAACTTTTAAATCCAGCTCTCTAATCAAATAAACTTTTTTTAAATATTCATCTACAACCTTTAGATCAACACACAATTTGATTGTTAATTCTAATTAAGTAGTTTTTAAGATTATACTCTTTAAAATCACAAAAAATTTAAATTCCAAAAGACAAATATCATTTGAAAAAATAACTAGAAATGTTGACCTTTAAGTCTAAATAATTTTTCTCTAAAAAAAAAAGTAAAACTTTTATTTCAGCGAAAAGCTTTTTTTAGATGGTGATTTCTTATTAAAAACTTTACTTTTTTCCTAGCAGGTCTTTTCTTTACAAACAACAGCTACAATTAAAAACAGCTAATAAATGATAATATTAATATTTTTAATAATAATATATTATTTTTGTTAAAAATTTCTTTAGGCTGATTCAAACTAATATACTAAAAAGAGCAAAAAAAAAAAAAAGGGCAAAAAAAGTGAAAAGACTTATTGAGGGTTAAAAGCAAAATATAAAAACCTATACTTTATTTTGTTAAAAAATTATTCATAAATAATGATCCACCACAATTCTGTTTCAGTATTGGTTTGGAACAAAATTTCAAATTTAACTGATACTGAAATTTCGGTTTCGGTACTTTTTATAAATTTGGCAAAATTTAGAAAAAAAGTTATTTTTTAGATTTTTCACAAAATATTTTGAGAATTTTCACAAAAATATTGAAAAATACCTTGAAAAATCTTGTTTTGCAGAGAAAATCTGCCAGTTGTTAAATTTTGCTAATAACTTATACCGCCGACTTGTATTAAATCTCAATTTAGGATAACTTAATACGAGTATAAAAAAACAACAAATGTAAAATTGCATTTTTTAAATAAATTTTTCTAATAAAATAAATTTTGACTAGCCAAAATTTGAGTATCTGTTTTGGTAAAATTTGAATACCCAAAATTTTGACCAAATTTGAGTACCTGAAATTTTGGTTTATTTCGGTTTCGGCTTTTTTTACTTTTTCGGTTGATCACTATTCTTAAATATTGATTTTTTTTTTTAAATCAACATTTTTTGTGGATTATTACACTTTATAACAATATTACTCTCATAATATATTGCCCAAAAAACTCAAAAAGTGCATTAAGTGTTTTGGTAACAACAATTAGATGAAAATTACAAAAAGTAAATTTGATCATCCAGAAAATAATTTGATCATTTACTTTTCAATATTTATCATTTCAACAAATCAGTGTTGATTGGCAACTTTGAAATAACTATTTCCAGCTCTAAAGTATACAAGTGCAACTATCCAAAATAAAACTCTGCAAATAGTGTCTTACTATACACAGGCCTTGTTTCAAAGCGTTACATGTAGAGTAATTTACTTATGCCTTAAGCAGATTTTACATAAGCAGTAAGTAATTTCGGTTAAGCAATTTTTTATAATTTTTTAATTTTTAAACTATTAAATAAATCACATTATTTTTTGAATGAGGTATATGTAAAAATATTTGTTACAAATGTGTGAATGACAATTATACTTGATATGCTATTTATTAATGAAAAAACTCAAATAAAATTAAAAGCTTATCTTTATTTTGTTTTTATATTATTGCAATGATTGATTTTTTAAGCTTGAAGCATAAAAACATAATTTAATTCTGATAAATAAATATATATTTAAAAAAATAATTTAATAAAAATATGTAATTTTATTCTAATAAAAAAATATATATGTAATTTAATTTAGATTTTAAAAATGTATAATTTAATTTTGATTTAAAAAATATATTTAAGTTTATTAAAATTAAAGTTAATACTTAAACTAACAGTCAAATTTATTTAAAAATATTACTAAATATTATTCAGTATTGAAATTTTATTTGTTGTTAAAAAAAAAATTAGCTCATTTTTATCACAATTTATTTTTTTTGTTTTTCTATCCTAAATTTTTTTTTTTACTCAAAATTAAGTTTTAAATAAATGGCAGCATCAAAAATTTGCACAAAACGTAAATTAAACTTTTTTTTTTATAACGCAAGTTAAATCACAGCAATCATTTTTAAATAAACAATATACAGCGATATTATTTTAATAATAAAATAATAAACTTTTAATTTTAAAAGTAAATAAATTAATGTAATTTTTTTATTTGCTTCGCTAATTAATAATATAAAAAAGTTCATGTCATTAAAAATAAAAGTTGTCATTAAAAAATAAAAAAATGTCATTAAAAAATAAAAAAAAGAGAATTTTATGACGTCAAATATCACATTAAACTAATACATTAAGCATTATATATATACATATATATATATATATATATATATATATATATATATATATATATATATATATATATATATATATATATATATACATATACATATATATATATATAAAAACGCAACAGAAACCAAGCATAACTATTTTCTGAGTTGTGCCGCCTGGGATAACATAAAAATTGTAAAAAATTTAAATTAAATTTAATAAATTATTTTACTTCTGTTCGAAAAATTTTTTTTCTAAAAGAATAATTTAAGCATATTCTTATACTTAATATAATTCAATTTATTAAACAAAATCTTTTGTTTCACTTTTTTTGGGAAAACAATTAAAATAAAAAAAATTGAATGAAAAATCAGTTTAAAAACCATTTGAATGAAAAACTTAAATATACTTAAATTTTTAATCGTACGCTTGATCGGGAAACAATAATTTATAAAACTAATGTTTTTATGCTTTGATCTTACTCGTTTGGTCCATATATTGTAAACTCGTATAGGTCTATAGGCGTAAATATGAAGTTTTGTTTTAGTTTATTAACTAGATTAATTTTATTTATTTGCTTTCTTTTATTTTAAACGCGTTTTATTTTATAAATTGTAAAAATCAACACGAAACAGCGTCACAAATTAACCCAAGCTCTTTATATTTTTAAAACAACTTTGCAGTTTGTTTTAATGTTGTTTTATAGCTTTTAATAATTAAATACTTTTTAAAATTAACACGTGTTTTAACGTCAGCACGAACGTATTAAATAGTTTTCTTTGACTAATAAAAGTGGTTTAGATATTGCAATGTTGCTTTTTCTCTTACTTTTTTACTTTTACTTTTTTAACTGCAACTTAAACTTTTAGTTCTAACTTAAGTTGTAAATAATAACAGTTACTTACGCTATTTTAAACCCTGCCGAACAAGATAATTATAAGATTGTATTTAAATATGAGAGATAATATATTAAAAGTAGAACAATTATGTACAAAAGTTACAATTATATACTAACGCAACTTCCCTCCCCCCCCCCATATACATATACATATACATATATATATATATATATATATATATATATATATATATATATATATATATATATATATATACATATATATACATATATATATATATATATATATATATATATATATATATATATATATATATATATATATATATTATATATATACAGGCATGTATATATGTATATATACATATACATGTATGTGTGTATATATATATATATATATATATATATGTGTGTGTATATACACCATACATATATGTGTGTGTATATACACCAACTCTGACACTTTCAGCATTTGTGTAGTCCCATGTAAAACATGCATGTTAAAATTGTTTCCTGGGCAAGGGAAGCTGTGCCCTAACAGCTCCCCTTGCACAACTTTTTTTCTGCAATATATATTTTTCTTTAAAGTTGGTTTATTGTTTTTAAAAAAATCTTTTTACAAGATAGCTTAAACGAGGCATT